TTAATATATTCTCCGCCATTGTCACATCTGATTTCTTTCACTCTCTTACCTGTTTGATTTTCCACCATATTTACATAATCTCTAAAACAATTAAAAACATCACTCTTGTTATTAATTAAGCATAGATAAGCTAACCTACTATAGTCATCTATGAATGACACAAAGTATCGTTGCCCCTTATATCCAGTGGGCGTAATCGGGCCTGCCACATCCGTGTGGATAATCTCTAACAAGTCTGTTGCCCGTCGTCTTTGATTTCCAAAAGGTAGATTTGTCATTTTGTTCATCAAACAAACTTCACATTGCACGTAACCCTCGCCTAACGTGATAGGTAATCCATCTACAACCCTATGCCTGCACATTTCATTTAGTTTCTTAAAGTTAGGATGCCCAAGTATTCTATGCCATTTTTCTTTTTCTGACATAATGTTACCACTTGTGTATGCTACTGTACCTGCACCTAAAGTAACTCTACCATCTAATTCGTACAATTTATTTTTCTTGCGTGCGACGGCCATTAAACCTATATGTACATTATATATATTTGCTATTTCTCCTCTAAATTGAATTGTATTATTTCTATTTACAATGCATGAAACGCTTAATAAGTTCTTTTTCATATTTGGAACATAATATACATTGGAAACATCAATTTTATTTGACTTACCTCCTGCTTTACAGTACATTGTTACATTTCCTATTTTCTCCGACTTAAGACAAAATCCATCACCTACCTTAATATTCACAGGTGTTTCTAAAATTTTATAATCACGAAAGAATTTATCGTCATTTACGATGTGATCGCTACATCCGCTGTCCAATAACCATGTTATATCCGCTTTCGTTTCGGTAGCTCCTGTCATCGCTTCTACTTCTACGTTGAATCCAAATCCATCACTAGTGCTGCTACTTTGTCCTGTATTCACGCTTCTATTGTTGTATCCTCCTCTATATCCTCTGTGAGTTCCTCGTCGTCCGCCTCCATATCCGCGTCCTCTACCACGACCATGACCACGACGTGCTAACTTAGGACAATCCCTCCTGTAGTGTCCTGGGCGGTTGCATTCAAAGCAGTTATCATTATTCCTGGACCCATCTTGGTGTTGATTTGATCGAGAACTGAACGTATGAGCTTCTTGTTCGCTCTGTTTTCTTTTCATTTCAAGTAGTAATTTGGACTTCACGTACTCCACTGTCCGATCCTTTGTCGGCATCGCATCAACAATATTTACAATATGTGCAAAACTCTCAGGTAATGCAAGCAATAAATAGTTCAGTCTATCCTCTTCCGACACGACTTCTCCAGCATTTTTCAATTCATTGATTTGTTTTTCAAATGTTTGTATGAATTCTAGTATATCGTCGCCATCTTTGAATTTTGTTTCTAGTACTTTCCTTTTAATTAATAATTTATTAGCACTGCCTTTTACTAAATACATCTCGTCCATTTTTTTAATCATTTGGTAAGCCGTACTTTCATTCATTATTATATCGAGCTGAGTATTATTTACGCTATTCACTATAATATTTCTAGCCTTTAAATCAATTTTTCTCCATTCCGTGTCTGTCATACCTTCATGTTTCATATCATTTTCCACAGCTTCTTGGCATTCTTTCATTTGTAACAACAACTTTAATCTAAATTTCCATTTTTCATAATTTGCACCATCAAATATCTGAATGCCCACTTCTCCTATCTTTACTTCCATTTTCGGTACCTTACGTCTTCAATTGTTTCGGTACTGACCTTTTCAAATAATTTCCACTTATCTTCCTCTTTCTATTTATTTTATTCAACAACGCTCCTTTGCTACCATGTTGAGGAAGTGGATCGTAGAAAGGAAAGACAATCAGCTCGTAATATTTAGTTTATGTAGTCCCAATCACATTACATTTTATTATAGGTATAGACCGTTGACGTATTTGCAAAAGTCCTAGAATGAAGTAACGGTGACATAGAGAACAGGCCATCGAGTCGCGCTAACAAGAAGGTTTTACATAAAATCATAACTTCAACAATGGCTTGCGTACACACATAAGTATCGGCTATAAACTACCCTCTTAATAGACTATAAAGATCGAACATCGAATGTTGACGTACCCCGTTGGGAAGTGCAATGTACGTGGTTTTTAAGGTGTCGCATACTCCGAGGTCTTGGGTTCACCCCGATGGGGCAAATCATTGTATGATAAAAACGAGCATCTGTGCCTAAGTTTTGGTTGTTAACAAATATGAGTTTAAAATCTAATCTAATAAATTCTAATCTATGCATCATCATTATGCATTTCCAGGCGTTAGCCCATAACACAAGCCTTTCAATGCCCATTATAAGGCTAGGCTAATTGGTGTGAAGTGTTGACTCGATCACTACGGTTGTTCTACCGTAATATATAATACATTTCAAAAGAAAAAGGAATATCGAAACAATTAATGTTTGAAAAAATTTAGTGCAGGTAAGTTGATAAATTGGGAGCTCCATAAATAATTCTTAAATAAATTTAATGGTATCGCATGCCATTCAAAAGCTTGTTTATCTAAATCCAATATATATCAAACTCCAATCTCAAGTGCAGTACACTATAAATATGTAAAGAATTCTAAGTTTTCTGCAATTTAAAGACTATCTGCCAGATAAATAGAAGATAACATATTTTCTCTTGAAAATAACAAAAGTAAACCAAATGGGTTGCTCACTCTTTTGATCGCGTAATGAGAGAAACTTGCAATATTAGAAATGTCGTGTATGTGGTGTCTGAGGTGGCCAACTTGATCATTTTGATATATAAGTGGTGCTAGTTACTGAAGAAAGATTGCACGATCTACCAAATTCTTGAAAGGTTTTGAAGATCATTGTATGCAATTATCCCCTTTATGTTATTTTAGTAAAAATTACTGAAAACTGTTCTTAATATTAAACTTACGCTTTCTAACCTTGCCACGACTGTCTGGAATAAATATACTTCAAACCCTACGCATAGTACATGCACACCTCATGTAAGCTGTGTAAATCTTATAAATAACTAAATCTTTATTTAGTATTAAGTAATACATATAAATGACTCGGATCTAAGAACTGAAAAACAAAAGAAAAATTACAATCAATTATAGATTCCAGGATGGCAAATGAATTTCATAAAATCTGGTCTGAACTTCGGAATAGCATAATTTATCACGGCAACCCAGCAACAATATAAAAACTATACCAGAGAATTTCGTTGTAAAAACGTAAACTTCAGAAGTTGATCGGTTTCAACATTTTTGTCATTCCGTGGGGTTGTATCAACCACTCCCTACTTCTAACAATAATTATGAATTCACTGCAATCGACCTTGCAATCACTTCCCGCCAATCTAATATGAAAGCTTGGGAAGTATGGTTGAAGAACACGGCACGATATGCTAGCACTACGCTTTTCAACATATTCTACAAAGAGCGACAGCTCTGTCTTAAAAACAGCTATGAGATGGCTCGGAAATGCTGGCTTGCGTGGTTGCATTGGTCTAGGAACAAGAATGTTTATCGGAATAATCCCGCAAGTTGTGGACTCGGCTCTGAACTAACACGATTTTTGAGAGACTTATTTTTAACTCGTGACTTATCTTAAAATAAGTACCATTATTTTAAATAAGTAAGTAGTTTTTACATGATATACCAATGGATGATAAGTCTAATTACCTAAGCTCACCTGTCTTGGCAAACACATATATTGAAGTCGATTGTTTTTAAAGAATCAGTCCGTAACCTACTATTCTGTGTCTATAAGTTAACTTATTTCCTTTTCTTCAATAATGTACTCTTTACATCATAATGATCTGTTTCAAATACTTCGTCATATATGTTGTTCTGAACGTCATACAGTAATTATGCTGCGTATTATTTGGTTCAGCATGTGGTACACATGACTTGTTCCTACTTCAAATTATCCCGAATCATTGTATTTGTACCGACGAAGATTAGTTTAGCCTTGTTTTGGTTCAAAACAGGTGAAAGTAGTTAAAGACAATCCGATTGGTGACTTGTACCGAATAATGGTAATCGTAAGTGGGACCCTGATTTTTGGTACTTAAGTAAAAAGTAGTCTTGTAAAATGTAAGACTCAGTATCGAACAACTTTACATCTTTTTCTCTCGTTCGTACGCCTTATTTGTGATATACAAAAATACAAATGAATGCTACACAAGGAAGCGTCCGGTCATTAACAAAACAAATATATGTAGAAGTATATATATATATATATATATATACTTCGCGAGTTAAGCAGCTTCGTAAGCTTGAAGAAATTAAAGGCGTGATTCAAATAATATTATTTGATTCATTTTTAAGCTTACTCGTTTCTTTATACAGTTTCATATAATCTGATAAATGTTAATATTTAAATTTATCATAAATTGTCACATTGGCGTATATATCTATGTACGTGGCAATCACCAGGCGATAACAAACAGGTCTCAATATAAAGCTTTCAGTGACGGTCAAGTAGTTTAATAGCAGCATTTTACCTGAAATAAAATGCATATTAAAATACTTACCTCACTGAAAGCTTTCACTTTAAATTCTGCCTGGTGAAATAATTGAGCCAATGAGTTAATATGGCGCTGTCAAAACTTAGGAAAACAAAAATGGCCGCGCTTCTGCCAGGTGTCGCCACTGGACCGGATATAAGGTGAATAAAAGTACGGAAACTGATGGTAATTCGACGGGAAACGGAAGTGCTATCTCAATATAAAGCTTTCAGTGAGGTAAGTATTTTAATATGCATTTTATTTCAGGTAAAATGCTGCTATTCTTTTTTCATATATTTTTCTTGGAATAAAAAAGGTCGACCAGATTTAAATTTGAATTTAGGTGAAAACTGAATGAACTTTTAAAATTTTCGCTTATATTTTTCTAGGATCAGTTTTAGGATCGGTTTCAAAAACGCTTTATCCTAATTAGGAAAATCAAATGCTCATTTGTAGAACTTTAGTCCTCCACCAGCTGTCGGCGACAAGTTTTCGATTTATTTAGAGGAGTAGAAATAAAAACAGTAAATAAAGTTTAATAACATAATTGTTTATTTCTAATACAAATTCAGTATCTCATGATGAAATCGACATAACGATATAAATACTAGTAACAAGTTATGCGAATGATAATGAAAATTAGGCGAGTAGGAGCGGCGTCAGTGTTAAGCCAGAAACATATTAACGTGTCGTGGCATGACGTGGCGCATCGGTTTCATACATTTATTATGGGTTAGAGAGAGATAGAGATGTTAAAGCGTCGACACGACACGACACGACACGTTAATATGTTTCTGGCTTTACGCCGTTGGAAAGTAAATCTACCATAATCTAGAACCCAACTAAAATAAATGGTACAGTATTGTGCGAATGAAATGAGGAGGTGGTAAAGTCTGCAAGGGATGGAATTTACAAAGGCGACTATTTATTTTAGTTGGATTCCTCCGTTTAGATTTTGATGGCACACATAATCACAGGTGAGTCCTTTACTTAGTAACTTGATTTGTTTACTTCCGTCTGCGAGCCTGTGGACAACATACGAAAATTGAAAAAAATCCTAATGAGATTTATATTGACTGACATATGTACCAGACAGAATTTATTGATAAAATTTGCAGTGTGTTACCAGAAGTTATCACTTGAAGTGGCTTTCTGTACTTGATATCTAGTAGAGAGATATTGGTGTTGATTTTGCAGGATTCTCTAAACTTAAAACTAAATTTAACATCAGTCTGTCCTTGTCATTCTGTATAGAGAATGACAAAGATAAACTGTTGTCAAATCTAAGTTTAGCTTTAGAGAATCATGCCAGAATTGACATCTTTATCTACGCACGCAGCTATGGTAAGTAAGCATTTTAAAAATATGTAGCTTCGTAACATAGGTACATGATTATTTCAAGGATTTGTCCGGTCAATTTATGGCGAGCATTTTAGCTTTGTAATTGTAATTTTTGTTATAAAAATATAAAAAAAAAATAAAAAAAAAACATAAAAATATTATCAAAAATTTATGATATTGACACTAAAAGTAATACGTGTTCAAACTTTGATAATATTCTTAGTCAATGTGATAACGTCGATTTTGTTGCATCTAAATCGGCTCTCTCATTTTGTGTAATAATTTCGTTATCATTACTCAGCATTTTATAGTTGTCTAATCTATATATATATAAAACTCAAAGGTGACTGACTGACTGACATAGTGATCTATCAACGCACAGCCCAAACCACTGGACGGATCGGGCTGAAATTTGGCATGCAGGTAGATGTTATGACGTAGGCATCCGCTAAGAAAGGATTTTGATCAATTCTACCCCCAAGGGGATAAAATAGGGAATGAAAGTTTGTATGAAACTTTGTCAATTTAAAACCGATCGGGCTGAGACTTTGCATGCAGGTATAAGAAGAATTATAGATGAATGTCATTGTGCATAATACAAGCCTAAGAACAAAAACTGTAGTCTACACTTCAGCTCTACACCGAAGCGAAGCGAGGGCGGGCCACTAGTACTAAATAGAATTTATCAATGGTATTATTCCAACGAGGAGCTCGATGGCGCAAGTGGTTAGCGCGTTCGGCTGCGATCTTTGAAGCTAAACAACTTTCGCAGTGGTCGGTCATTGGATCGGTGACCAAAAATTTACTATCTCGAGCTCCTCCGTGCTTCGGAAGGCACGTTAAGCCGTTGGTCCCGGCTGCATCTGCAGTCGTTAGCACCCACCAATCCGCACTGGGCTCGCGTGGTGGGTCATGGCCCAATCTCCCTATTCACTCATAGGGAAGGCCTGTGCCCCAGCAGTGGGGACATTAATAGGCTAAACGAGCACTTACGACTTCCTTCATCTCCTTGTTGATGCAGAAGGAGCGCACTTGGAACGGACTCGAGTACGAGCAGGTGCATTCTTGTACGCGCGTGTATCGGATCATTCCTTGCACCAGCACGTTGGCTGCTGATTGGATGAACTGCTTCTGTTCGTTGGCCTTCATGGCGGCGAAGTTGCTTGAGGAGAAGGTGTAACCGCCGATCTGTTAAGAAAATTGGTCCGTTAATGTTGGTGAAAGAAGAAAGAGTATGGACAGAATAGGGTATTTGACAGTATTAAAAATAAAGTGCCAATTGTTAGCATCTGTGTTTAGATGCTAACAATTGGATGATTTAATGAATATTGGCAGGGGTTTATACTACTTTTACAAAAAAAAACTATTCATAAATTTACTAAAAACACACGAAACAGATATTAGTTTTCTTATCTATTGTCACGTGACCCAAAACGCTTGGGATTGGCGGAGCCTAAAATGACGTCACACGCAAGTAAACTTCCGGTTAAAGTGACATTAGATTGTATCGTTTGACGTTTTAATAACAGTCGTGTGACGTCACATACTAGTAAGACGCCATACTGTCCAAAGAAACGTTTTCGCGGCAAATTGAAAATGGAGTGTTTCATTTGATTATTTTTATTGAAATATACAACAGAATGATGAACATCCACTCCGGACGGACTCCATGAACATTAGTCAATAACGTGAGATCGTTTTCTAAAACTTGTCAAATACCCTTTTGGTTTGGTTTTATGAAACCGCGACGCAATTGATAGTGTTTTCGCACATTGTCTGAAAGTGTATTATCACACTAATATTATAAAGGCGAAAGTTTGTGTGTGTGTGTGTGTATTTCTTACTTCTTCACGTCTAAACGGCTGGAGCGATTTTAATGGTATGGAGTTAGCTGACACCCTAGATTATCACATAGGCTACGTTTTACTGCGGGAAAGTATCCCTGATAAACCGCGGGTAACACCGCGGGGCACAGCTAGTAGCTTATAAAAAGTGGAAAATGAAAAACAAAGTCCTTTTTTGTTTAAAACTTTCATGGTCACTAACATTTTCGTAATATACTAGTAAGTAGGTAAGTAACTCCTGAGTTACTCCGTGATCATGGCGCTTGCAATAGTGCAGAAATATGGGAAACTCTCTTAAAATAGGGTACAAGGTAACATTCCTGTAAATAATTTATATTACTATGAAGTCCTTATTTGGCTGGGGATCGAACCCGGGCCACCCGCGTGGTAGGCGAGCTTTTTATCACTTAACCACCAACGTGTGTTGATAACATCAGAATTTATCAATAATTAAATATGTAATGCGACATGCTAATAATGAAAGAAAACTTTGTGGCGATATCATAAAAAAAACACTTTTTTTTTAAATTTATTTATTAATATTGAGCTAGTTATGGACTACCTTGACGTTTGTCATGGTCATTATAAATTTAAAGATATAGTGGGCGAATTTCTGTAACTCAGCACACAATGCCCTAACAATATGCAGCGATACTTATTTGTCGGAGAATTGGGTGTTGAATAAATAATAAATAAATATTTCCATACTCACACCAATTAGCCTAGCCCCAAAGTAAGCACTGTAAGGCTTGTGTTGTAGGATAGAATTCAAATATTACACATATATAAGTATATTTAGATAGAAATACATATTGAACATCCATGACTGGAGTACAAATACTCGTATTCATTACACAAACATCTGCCCCCGCAGGGATTTGAACCTGGGACCTCTCGAGACGGCGACACCATGAAACCTGGCGTATAAACCACTGGGCCATTTAATTTGTTGGTTCACGTCCCTTCATTAACATTGCCTAACCTTGTTCTGATTTTATTACTAATGCGTGGTATCAGTAATGTTGTGTGGTTTGGTGTACAGTGCAACAGTTTTTTTTTTCGTGTTATACTTCTTCGTAACAGCATGCAGCAGCAGCACAAGAAAGCAAATAAATATGAATAGATACTTACTGCTTGTATGGCATCAACGCAGGCGTCATCCTTAACTTCGACCGTGGATCGCAACGATTCCGAGTCTTTGCCCAGCTTCTTGTCACCCATCATCAATACAGATCGCTCAGAGAAACCTGCACAGGATAATATAAAAAAGATAAACAAAATTACAACCATATCATCAATATAATATAAGCAAATTAATTATCATCATCATTGTACAATGATATAGGTACCAACATGAAACATCATCGATGTAAAATAATAAACATAACTTTAAATTTAATACACCATCATTAAAAAGTTAAACAAAACTAAAAATTTCTTCTATGACAATGCAATCTCCATAAAATAACTTCTAAAGAGAAATACTTCAGTTAAACGCTTAATGACAACAATTAATACCTGAGATTAAAAGACTTAAAAGAAATTTTATATGATGGAAATCCAATTCGATGTTAAGAGTCGAGTTAAAGAGTTGAACAATGAAATTCATTTTGTCAAAGACTCATTTTGTTTGCGCTATACTGTAAGTAAACACCAAGAATAAAATACAAACGAAATGAGTGTGAATTAGCCTGCATACTGTCAGTTGGAATATAAGTGTGGCAATATTGAAATTTAGTTTTGATCGACGTATTTAGCATAAAAAGAGATTTTGCTGGTGTAAGAGAACAAAACCTTATGTATGTAGTGTCATCATCCTATGAATGGAGTAGGGAGATTGAGACATGGCCCACCATGTGGGCCTAGTGTGGATTGGTGGATGCTAACGACTGCAAATGGAGCCGGGACCAACTGATTAACGTGTCTTGCGAAGCACGAAGGAGCTCGAGATAATAACATTTTTGGTCCCATGCAATGACCGACCACTGCTAAAGCTGCTTAACTTTAATGATCGCAGCCGAACGCGCTAACCACTTGCACCATCTATATCCTCTTAATCCAGTTGAAATAACTGAGTGGCTCTATTGATTTTAAGTTTTAATCTGCATAAAGTATGATTTTCATCAGGAATAGAACTCGCTGGTGTGAGAATATAAAACGTTTGTTGTAACATACTGACCAATGATTTGCGCTGGGTTCTTGCCGCTGCCGATCTTGAGGTCGGAGGTGACGGTGACTAGCGAAGTAGTGTGTGCATTTTCCTCCAAGTAGATGTTGTAGATGAATGCACGTATAGCTTCCAACTGGGGAGAGAACGTAAAGATTTATTATTCAATTTTATGGGTCCTCTATTTGTAAGATTTGGGGAATTCCAAGAGAGTAAAGCGGTTATCCTGCTCGAAATGGAGCGCCAATCTGGAGAAGTAAACAAAACCTTAAGAACCCGGAAGAAAAGTGGTCCGTTAATGTTGGTGAAAGAAGAAAGAGTGTGGAATAAACTGGTTCGGTTTTATGAAACCGCAACGCAATTGATAGTGTTTTTGCACATTGCCTTAAAGTGTATTATGGCACCAATATTATAAAGGGGAAAGTTTGTGTGTAAGCGTGTATATTTGTTACTTCTTCACGTCTAAACGGCTGTAGCGATTTTAATGGTATGGAGTTAGCTGACACCCTGGATTAACACAAAGGCTACGTTTTACTGCAGGAAAGTATCCCTGATAAACCGCGGGTAACACCGCGGGGCACAGCTAGTAGCTTACAAAAAGTGGAAAATGAAAAACAAAGTCCTTTTTTGTTTAAAACATTCATGGTCACTAACATTTTAGTAATATACTCGTAAGTAGCTCAGGAGTTACTGATATAAAGTGTAAATATATAAAGATACTTATTTGTCGGAGAATTGGGTGTCAAATAAATAATAAATAAATATTTCCACTCTCACACCAATTAGCCTAGCTCCAAAGTAAGCACTGCAAGGTTTGTGTTGTGCATATATAAGTATATTTATATAGAAATACATATTAAACATCCATGTACTCCAGTGAGTACACTATTTGTAAGATTTGGGGAATTCCAGGAGAGTATAGCGGTTATCCTGCGCGAAATGGAGCACCCATCTGGAGAAGTACACAAAACCTTAAGAACCCGGAAGACCACAGCAAAATAATACTAACTTTTGGTGGTGTTGTGTTTCTGTCGGTTAGTAAGGTTCCAGGGCTCCACGGAGTAAGGGTTTGGATCAGGGTAGACAACGGCGCGAGTAATATATTTTTAATTGCAATAGTTTATACTATCTGAAGGCTATAGTGGCCGCTTACAATCAGGTGGATCATAGCTTCTTTGCCACCATTTAATATTAAAAAGAAATTATCCAACCTAATCCGATTTTGTTGTAAATCTAAACTACCCAGTACTCCATCACACCTGGTTTTAAATGTGCATGTAAGCTTAATGGTAAGAGAAGATTTGCTTGAACTCTTTTCCCCGTGAAGCTACAGTAAATTTGCTCTAAAACATGACTTCACAATATTCTGTGTGAAGTCTAATCGATTTATTAATCGCCAATAAGATATTTAGGCTATTAAGCTGACATAAAAATAAATAGCTATCAAACATCACTTGAATAAAAATGTTCTATCTCGGATCTACATTTATGCTGATTATATGCTGATGACATGCATAATGTGATTACATAAGACGATTATATTGACATGTTTAAATGGAATTATAGTTTTAATATGATTGACATTAATGTGACTAAGTACAATATTAATATTAATTGGATTTATTGTAAATGTCAAATCATGTTTGAACATCATATTTATTGTGACACCTATTAATTGTAACATGTTTCTTGTAAATAAATATATGAATATGCTTACCAGGAACATGTCGCTCCTGCAGTGTTCTCCGACTACATACACGGAGTGTTTCACGGCACCAGGACGAAGAGGTATGTCAGACAGGGCACGGTAGCCGGCGTCGGTGTTTGTTAACTCTACAAACAATCATAGAATTAGTAATATGTCACAAATGAATTATTGAGAAAATAACGCAGTTGCTTGAAGTTATGCAACATGAAAGTAAGGCTTTTTTATTCTTTATTTCTTAAGGAAAGCTTATTCAAATTGATTCAGGTCACCTTCGAATAGTTATTTCCTGCTTGCTTGATTTAAAAGCTAATCTTGCTTCACTTAAGTTCACTAAAAGCTTCATTCTATCTCTATTCGACTTGATACTCGAACAGTTGAGAAAGAGGATTTCATATCTTAAACAAGATTAGCCCTAATTTGATTCAAAAATGTTGGTGCATGTGGCCCTAAATTATCCATCAGTTATACATAAGTGTTCAGTTCCAAAATTGCCAGTTTACTTACCGAATGCCTCCATCAGGTAATCGATAACAGACGCTGTTTTTTTGTAAGCATCGTTAAACTGTGGGCATTGCGTTTCGATCATCGGTATTTTCTGGTAGCGGGTCTTGTCGGTGAATTGTACCTTCGCGTTCTTCAGTTTTACTAAAATAAAATATGAATTTAATGTTTTATGTATCGTTAGTCTTCTAAGATTTTTTTGTAATTTATAATATTGAGAGATCTATATGTAGATCTATATCAAAGCCAGATCTTCTTAAAACAATTAGGAAACTCGACGGCCTTTTTTATTTCATGACTCCCAAATAAGAGCTTAAATTGAAAAGGTTTAAGCAATTTAGAAAGTTATGACTCCTTTTTCTTAAAGAGTTCTACGGATATTTTTAGAAATACATTTTTTCCATAAAATTGTACACACCTTCAAATCAAAGTAGAAAAATTTTTTTTTCGTGATTCCCAAATAACAGCTTATATTGAGAATTTTAGAATGACGTGCAAAAATTAATATTGAAAATATTACCATCACTGTCATAGATGAGCGGGTAGGGAACTGAAGAGGTGATTCCGACCACGTGGACTTTGATGTCGGTAATTCTCTTGCTCTTCAGGTTGTCGACGAGTTGCGACACTAGAGGCACTACCAGTGTTTTGAACGCATTCTCGTTGGCCTGCAATTAACATTTTCTATGGAATCATTCAAAATATCCACATAGGCTATGGTGGCCACTTTCTATCAGGCGGGTTGTATCCCTGTTTACCACCCTTTTAACACAAGAATATATACACTTCCGGACATATCTATCGATCCACCTACCATTTGAAGTTTTGACGGTCCGTACCTAAAAATAAATGTTACATTGAGCAAAAAGTTATTACCTACACATTTTTAAAGCAGATTTATTACCCATCTTTTCGTGTGTTTTTAAAGTTATTGCTCAACCATAAACATTATTTTTTGCAACAGACCGTTGGAACTTATAACAAATAAGTGGGCCGATAAATGTGTCTTGAAGTATATATCTATACATATACATATTTTTATGTGTACGGTATATATATATGCATATAAATACACATATTTCATTAACTAACTATAAGATAAGGAGATAGAAAGAAAATCTGCGCACGCACTGCTTTCTCATGCTTTTATCCCCCACTCAACCCCCGTTCGTCTCGCCCGAAGACGTGTGTGTGTGTGTGTGTGTGTGTGTGTGTGTGTGTGTGTGTATGTGTGTGTGTGTGTCTTATAGTTAGCTAATGAAATATGTGTATTTAAATGCATATATATCTATTATATAAAAATAAGTCGGGTTTTCCTTCCTGACGCTATAACTCCAGAACGCACGAACCGATTTCCACGGTTTTGCATTCGTTGGAAAGGTCTCGGGCTCCGTGAGGTTTATAGCAAAGAAAATACAGGAAAAATTTCAAAAAAAAAAATCCTTTTCTTTTAATCACCAAACGAAATGTTACATAAAACGAAGCCATCTGGTGGCGAAACGGAGTTCGCCGGGTTTGCTAGTACTGTATACATATATGTACATGCACATAAATATATGCATAGATATATATCTGATATTAAGTGGTAAAAGACGTAAAAATAGCTACTGCAGAAGTTTTGATCTGCCACACCGAGCCTCTTTTAAAGCAACCCGGATTGTAGGAAGAGGGAGGGTTATACTTACGACAGTAGTCTCCACAGCGACCACGATATCCGCCTGCTTGTTAGGCAGTTTCAGTTCATAAGTATCTCCCGGGTTACGAGGAGTATCGGCGTCGATGCAGCGAACGCAGGCAGGCGGCATTATGGCGGGTAGTAGCCCGCTGACTGCTAGTGCGACGTATCCGCGCGCGAGGTCACAAGCTTGATGTAATGCTGCTTCGCCTTCGCCCGATGCTGCGTGAATGCAGGCTTGTCTGTATGGAAGTTATTGGGTTATTAGAAAATGCAATGGAACTCTTTTAAACCCTTATTAATAAATGACGAATGAGCTTGGATTAGTTTAGTCTTTGTTAATTGAATAAAAAAATGGCATTTGAGTGACGTGAACAATATACGACGTAACTAGTCTGAGATTATACCTCGTTGATAAAAAAGAGAGCTGTACTCCTGGCACGAACCAATATCGAATTCGTATCGTTTGCGAATCCGAAATGTCAATGTCAAATTTTAGTTCTCGTTACGTACTTGGTGCCGCTGCTGTTCAAGTTTTCATATAAAAATTTGACATTGACATTTCGAATTCGATAATGGTTCGTGCTAGGGGTACTAGAGGATAACTTAAATGATACAGGAGATTTCTCTCCAAATTTAGGAAAACATTGAGGTTGGTTTCAACTGTGAGTGTTTGTAGGTTTTTTTTTTAAATATAGCGTGTATCTAGCCTATTTATTTGAAACGTAAAGTAAGGAACTTTTTTGAGGCCAGCTTTTTTGTTAAGTGTTTTATTTTGTTTATCAATACACAGTATATGTATGTCGTAGGATGATTTGTGACTATAATCCTCACCTGAACGGATGTACATCCAAGAATATAGAAAGCGGTCTGAGCGGCGAGGAAACACCGAACACTTGCTCGCAAGCCGGTGGCATAGTGGCGTGCATTTGATGCATAGAATGTTCGGGAGTTTTCACTTGAGGACAGCTCGATGCCATTCTGTATGCGTTTCCGAATTCCGACTCGGATGCGGTGATCTGTGAAGCGATTTTATTGGCATAGTTAGTTTAGCAGGGCTTGTTTACCGGTTAATTTTCAAACACACAAAAACTAATTCAGTGTCAAGTACATAAGGAGCGTTTTATTTAGGTTTGGCTCTACCTTAACCTTAAAAAACCGGTTTTTAAAGCGAAATCAAATCGGTTTTGAATCAATTTAGCGGTTTTTAAAGGGTTTCATTTCGCTCTTACTGACGGCTGAAATAAATACACAACTACAAAATAAATAACTTGACTCAGTAGACGCTAGCAAACGTGTCAATAAATGCATCAATCTCTGACCATTAACAAGTTGTGACTTAATTAGTTCAAACAAAACAAACTTCAAGCGATGCAGACGCGTGCACGTGTCGCTCTGGCTTTAACCGGTTTATTAAGGTTTTTGGTACCGCTTTCATTTCGGACGCACTCCGAACGAAACCTTTACTAAAAACCGGTATTAACCTTTATTTACCGGTATTTTTAAAACCGGTTTCAAGCCCTGTAGTATCAAAGTTAATGTGAAGGATTTTCATGAGCTATAGCTATGCACGAACTTATCCGCAATCATATTGCGGACGTCTAATTTTCTATGGAATCTAAGCAGCGCCTCTATCGGACGTAAGAGCAAAGTAGCTTTTTCTATACAACAATTTACAAGACGATACGAAATTTAAAAATTTTTTTCTTTAAATAATACCTCAATTATAAGGCACTGAGGGTGACAGATTTTTATTTTGTAAATCATATATTATTTAAGTAGGTTAAGATAATTTGGGATGTTTTTAAGTTACGATGTAGTTTTTAAGTTTTTGTTATTTAAATGTAGATATCTATAATTTCAATAAAGTTCAGTTTTTATAATAATTAAAAATAGTCTGTCCAGGATTTTTACGGCAAATGATTGTTACTATATTTTCTAATATACTAAATTCGTGATAAAATATGTTTCATTCTATTATGAGCTCGGTGAAGGTCGATATAGGTTCGGATCTTAGACTAATAATAATTACTTTTTACCTAAATCTTAAATAATATTGAGAATTGGCAATGACTTATTAACTAACTTCAAAAGGACAAGGTTTTCAATTGCTCAGTAGATACATATTTGTTTTACCTTTCCATTTGGCATCCTGAAGTCATCGTAAGGCTCGTTGTTGCCGTCTCCGAGAAGACCACGCAGTTTGCCGAGGTAGAACCCAGACACCTCTACGTAACAAATCTGTTCAAAAATAAATCCATTGATAGATTCATACAATCATGACAATATAAGTGTGAAATTGTTAAAAAAAATACTGTATCTTAATTTCGAGAATTCAACCAGTAATATTATATAAAAAAAGGAAAACAATGTAAATATATTGTTTTAAACTTTCATGGTCTCTAACATTATAGATATTAACGGGATTGTTACCATGTATAACTTGTTTTTTATGAGTCTCCGATATTTCGGCTGCAAGCGCCATGATCACAGAGTGACTGAATATCGGAGACTCATAAAAAACAAGGTGCATGATAATAATCCCGTTAATATCATTCATTATAAATCAATGTAAATAGTTTGATTTAATTAGTTTAAACGGTTAATGAAGTTATAAAATAGGGAAAAGAACTTGCGGGTTTGGAGTGAAATTTTGCTAAAGGGCCTTACTTCGAATTTATTCTGTGAACATTTGACCATGATGTTGTCTTTAGAACCGAAGCTGATGGCGCCGTTGGGTTCCCTGAGAACCATCAAATCCTTGGTTACCACAGGGAATCCGTGAGCTTGGCCGTCCAGGATGACCTATAAGAGAAGAGAGTTGGATTAATATTCACTAAACATGGATCCTAGAATCGAAAATTACGTTTGCTACAATGTTGTGTGTGAAATGTAGGTACGTTTTTTGTGTGTTAAATTCTTCTTGACAATATCGATTTTGGTGTTACTACAAGTAATACATTTTTTGTTCACAGCTTTAAACAATTCGATGGCAGTAGTGAATTTATTTCTGAAAGTTTATTTATTTATTTAGAAATAAAGAAGTGAGCTAACAGTCACATATATTTGTACATTAATGATTGAACGGGAGTCAGTAGAAGTTTCTAATATGTAGACCAATTATAAGAATACACAACAATCGCAATAAATAGTTAATAAACAACTTGATACAATTATCATAATTGAAGATATTCACCTGTTCTAAAATTTATATTACAACCACACACAAAGCAACATTTTGGAAATTCGTAATTCTTTTCAGCATGTAAGGCCAGTCTTTGCCCCTTCTCTTCATGAAGTTTTAAGAAAAAGAACAATTGTTACTCCGCATTTAACAAGGTAACGCTGGGGATGTTTGAAGTGCCTGAAGCATCCGGCACCAGAATGAAAGACAAAAGCGTTAACAAATGTAAATTGAATATGTCAGACATTGGTGTGTTTCACAGCATTCTGGCCCAACCGGTCTCGGAAGAGGCTAGAATCCTTTATCGCTTTATATGTCTGCCGCGACTTGCTTCCGGCAATAACATTTTACGTTAATTGGCTTAGATGATTATTTTATTAATTTATATAAGTACACGATTGGACTGACATGTTTGTAAAGATAAAAGTCCTTTAAATAAAGAGAAAAAAAAAGTGCCTGAAGCATGTAAAAAAGGGGGTATTTACATGTCTCAAAAACCATTGACGCTGAAAAGTTTCAAAAGCCTTAAATTTAAGTATTCCTCTTTTAAAATAGTTACCCACCTGTCCGTTATCCTTGATCTCCACAGTCCTGCCGCTTCTATCGACCAGGATGTACGCTTTGGGCGCTCCAGCTTGAAGCTGAATAGCCAGGGAGAAGTTCCTGTCCACGTAGTCGTGCGCGAGGATGTATCTACATGTTCCAGGGAACGTGAGGTGGCGGCCGTCGAATGTGAAGATGTGTTGGCCGTTCACTATTACCGCGCGGACTGGGTGAGGAAAATTAACATGAGTATAGATAGCCACGAGTAAAAGTATATTTATTTAATAGGTGTATAAATCTAAAAAAGAAGTTTTACTACAAAAAATAAAACCACGCGGACAAGGCAGCGGACGGGACTCGAAACCGCACCCTTCGCAATCCGGGGGAACACACTAACAAATTATGCTACCACGGCCCTAATGTCCGCGTCGAAATTTTTCTAGCCTTAAGCCACAAGGCAGCGCCATCTCTTCGCATTGTAGGTAACCCACAATGTCAAATGAATATTTTTACAAGTATTAAAGATTTGAAAGAAGAAATAGCAATATAGTTGTTTTTATTTATTTTTTAAGCATTTAACTGATGCTTAAAAAATAAATAAAAACTTAATAGGGGAAACTACCCAATCATTGGCACTCTTCCTATTATTGGCACTTTTGAGTTTAGTTCGAAAAAAACAGGAAACAATAGATTGTAGGAATAATGCTGCCAATTTTCAAATTTCCAAACCATACTAGGTTTTTCTTTTTAATATGTAACAACCTTGAATAATCTATTGTCTCCTTGTTTTCCGCATTAAACTCAAAAGTGTCAATGATAGGATGAGTGCCAATGATTGGGTGGTTTCCCCTAGGTGTACTTCTAGCTAAATCACACTAATATTATAAAGGCGAAAGTTTGTGAGTGTGTGAGTGTGTATGTTTGTTACTTCTTCACGTCTAAACGGCTGGAGCGATTTTAATAAAATTTGGTATTGAGTTAGCTGACACCCTGGAATAACACATAGGCTACGTTTTACTGCGGGAAAATATCTCTAATAAATCGCGGGTAACACCGCGGGGCACAGCTAGTAGGTATATAAAAACATTAAAATAATACTTATTCTAATGCAAGTCTTAACAAGCATGTATAATAACAGTAGAAATATTAATTGTCTTGTTAAGTTTTAGGTCATCAGCAAAAATGGCTAAACTAAATAGGCTTGCAAGATGCTTCTTAATGTTGTGAATGGCTCCTGATGAATGATCTGCCAATTTATATAACATACCATTGATCTTAAATGTTCATTTGTAAAGATCTATCTTTGAATCTGGTCTCACCTTTCGGCAAAACTACGTGCTACACGTGCCAGTTAATTAAATTATAATAAAAAAAAAATGTTTTGAGGCTGCATTCATCTGTTGAGATTGCGGATCCTACATCATTGTTAAAATCTGCGTTAAAAATGAGCTGCTATTATCTTAATAGTTTTACCTATTTCTGATTACAGAGTAGTATACCAAGCATCGTGACCAGTCTGTTGAAATTCATTCATTCTTAATAATAGCAAATTGTTTTATCATTGTCATCAGCCTATTAATGTCCCCACAACGCGGGCCCAGTGCAGATTGGTGGGTGCTTATGACTGCAGATGCAGCTGGGACCAAAGGTTTAACGTGCCTTCCGTAGCACAGAGGAGCTCGAGATAGTAAATTTTTGGTCACCCATCCAGTGACCGACCGCTGCAAAAGCTGCTTAACTTCAAGGATCGCAGCCAAACGCGCTTACCACTTGTATCATCGAGCTCCTCTTTATAGCTGAAAAACTAAAAACTTCACCTATTTCTGATTTCAGAGACTTGTCTACCCAACTATTATATTTATTACCATAAGTTAATCAATATCATATTTACGTTTAGCGGGGAACTCGTCGAGTGGATTGATGCTCCTAGGCCTGTAAGCGTTGATGATCTTCATGGGGTCCTCTACGTCGCCATTGATGATCTGGTTTAGAATGCTGAAGGACGGAGCCGTGCTGCTCAGTGATGGCATCGGACCGAACTGGCCCGGTGACGTGAACAATACGAACTGAGGATGTGGAAATGGTTGCTTTTTAGAAATTGTGGGTTATTACAGCTGATTCGATATTGATAGAAGTGAAGAAAGAATTTGAAGAAGAATAGGGTATTTGACAGTATTAAAAATAAAGTGCCAATTGTGAGCATCTGTGTTCAGAATGAATATTGGCAGGGATTTTTACTATTTTTACAAAAAAAAACATAATTTTTCTAAAAACCCACAAAAATGATAATAGTGTTCTTTTCTATTGTCACGTGACACAAAACGCTAGGGATTGGCGGAGCCTAAAATGACGTCACACGCAAGTAAACTTCCAGTTAAAGTGACATTAGATTGTATCATTTGACGTTTTAATAACAGTCGTGTGACATCACACACTAGTAAGACGTCATATTGCCCGGAGAAACGTTTTCGCGCCGATTTAAAAATGGAGTTTTTGATTTGGTTATTTTTACTGAAATACACAACAGAATGATGAATATCCATCCACTTTTTACGGACTCCATAAACATTAGTTAATAACGTGAGATCGTGTTCTAAAACTTGTCAAATACCCTATTGTGTGTCGATATTGATAGAAGTCAGATTTTAGTTGCGAAGAAGAAAAAGGTGTTAAATAACTTATCCAAAATCTCTGTCTATTAAAGTTAAGTTTTTTAATATGTTTGTAAGGGCAATATCTTCCTCCGACTTGTGGTAGAGTTAAAAATAATCTATTCATTATTATTAACGCAAACGTATATTGAGAGGACTTTTTGGCGGGATCGGAAAGCGTCACTTTAACAGTTTTGTTTTTCTTGTTAAAATTTGTGTTGTGGCGGATGTTAGTGTCTAATAATGGTGGATTATTAACCACTAAGTGTTCGGGAACATGCACAAGTGTTGGCAAGTGAAACAAAATAGCGGAAAGTGTCTTTCGACGTTCCCTCAAGAAGTCCACGGGTAGGTTCCAGTAAATCCCCACACATTTACTGAAACACAGGGAAAGGGGAATTGACTTGACTGCCACTTACTTTGTCTGGATATAATACTTTGACAATGAGTGCTATAGAATTTGTAAACATTTTTAACACTTGACATTGGCTAAATGCACAAGCCGTGCGAAGCCATTGAGGAAATAAACGTATATTGAAGATAATATTTGATGTAAAATAAAAATCTATAAAGATTCCAATTATTTCTAAAGTAAAACATACGGGATTGACGCTAGCGAAACTGGGCACGCCGAACTGCGATAGTTGCGTACGCGCAAACTGAACAAGCGATGTGATGGCTCGAGTTAGCTTCTGGTACAATACTCGCAGTTCTGTGTTCTCGTCCACCTTCTGGTGTTGACGTTTCTAAAACAATACAAATGGAACGTGAATAAAGTTTCAGAAGTTTTGTAAGTTTTCTCCTAGATGACCAAAAACATGAGTCATCGTCATTATTAGCCAATTAGCAAGACGTTAAATCGTCTTGAGGTACTATGCTAAGAATTTAATTCACAATAAGGAATTATGTTAATATTATATCACAATAAGGAATTATGAATAAGATGTCCTCTCCTCTTCCGATACCCTACACTACAGGGTCCATAATGCACTTTTTATCTGTTAATATTACCGCCTTTGTATCTCCATTATAGTTTGCAATAAATGAATTGAATTGAATTTTCATTTTCATAATTTATACTATCTTCATTTCTATGCAAGGAATTAAAGGTCGATTTTGTTTAAATTTATTCAGATGATGTTGTTGTATTAGTGTTCACAAAACTTTTACCTTTTCGAGATACTTGTACAGCGCTGAGCAGAAGTCCTTGGCTTCCTGAGTGGGCAGTAGTTGCTGCACAGTTTCTTGGAGCTTGGCGATCACCTCCAGGACCATATCTGGCACCGCAAGCTCTCCGTACTATACGAAATTATACTTTATAAGTAATAGAATAATACATGTTACTTGAACGTATCTGACTTATTGGGGGTTCTTTAAAATACTTATCAGGGAAAGGTTACGCTATAATGTAGCCTGTTACTTGAACAAAATTTATTTACGGGGTTTCTTAAAAACATTATTTACCTATTTGATTTTTTTATAACATTTACGTTTAGAAACTAGTAGCACGGTAATTTTTCATCATCTCCATTTAAATTTAAAAACTGTTCTCTCTCTCTCACTTTCAGCCTGTCTCAACCCTTTGGGTGTAGGCCTCCTTCAAATTACGCCACCTGTCACGATCTTGTGCGTCTTGAAGCCAATGTTTCAAAAACTGTTATTTGTACAAAAATAATTGCCACTTTTGTAGGTGAGATAATTTTTTTATTACATTTAATATTAAGATTAATAATTCTTTACTCACTTTCTCCTTTATTATTTCGAAGATGGGCAGTTCCTTGATTTGCTTGGAAATTTCCTCGATGAACGCGCCGGCTTTCACACGGAACTCCTTCAGTTGAGCCACGATGAGGCGAGTCAAGTCTGAAAAGTGACTTAGTTATAAGTTATGTGAATAAAATACGAGTACAAAACCCGGGCCATTCTACACAAATAAAAGAAAATCATAATGCACTCATTAATTGTAGTCAGGGAGCAATGATGTAGAAGAATGAGCTGTGGGTTCATCATCATCATCATCATTACCCTATCTTCACCCTTAATACCCCCACTGCTGGAGCACAGGCCTTCCCTATGGATAGAATAGGAAGATGGGCCATGACCCACCACGCGGGCCCAGTGTAGATTGGCGGGTGCTAACAACTGCAGATGCAGCAGGGACCAACGGCTTAACGTGCCTTCCGAAGCACAACGGAGTTTTTGGTTATTAGGAATGACCGGTCATTGGAAAAAACGGGCTAGCCAATTGCGCCCTCGAGCTGTGGTTGGATTGTAGCAAATGGAAATCAATTATTTCTATCAAGTCTTGTGGGAAACATTATATTTTACTGACCCTTGAATATCTCAGCAATGGTGTTGGTAAGTTCTTGTAGTTCTGCCTTGTGCTTCTCAAAGAAGTCTGACACAAGTGCGGCGAAGTGAGCGACCACGTCCAATAAACCGTCGAAGTATTCCTTGATGATGGCGGCCATTGTCATGTACAGCTGCTTGATCTGACCTTCCAACTGTGAAGTATAATGTTTATTAGGAAACGAAATGTCTTTGGGTATCAAATTAAAGATCTGTAAGCCATTTGAAATGGGTGGTTGTAACGGTTATGTTTTTAACATGTCCTTAATGTAAATCAGTAAAGTTCTGGCGACATTTCTTTGATTCGAACTGTGGTTCAGCTTTTTTTCCAGAACGATTCGTTTGATGGCTTTTGATAACTTACTAGTTTCTCCACACAAATAAGTGGAGTTCTGTCGACATTGCCACAAGTGTATAATAGGGTATTTGACAGTATTAAAAATAAAGTGCCAATTGTTAGCATCTGTGTTTAGAATGAATATTGGCAGGGGTTTTTACTATTTTTACAAAAAAATATTCATAATTATACTAAAACCCACGAAAAAGATAACAGTTTTCTTATCTATTGTCACGTGACCCAAAACGCTTGCGATTAGCGGAGCCTAAAATGACGTCACACGCAAGTAAACTTCCGGTTAAAGTGACATTACATTATATCGTTTGACGTTCTAATAACAGTCATGTGACGTCACACACTAGTAAGACGCCATATTGTCCAGAGAAACGTTTTCGTGGCAACTTGTTAATTGAGTTTTTGATTTGGTTATTTTTACTGAAATACACAACAGAATGATGAATATCCACTTTTTCGGACTCCATAAACATTAGTGAATAACGTGAGATCGTTTTCTAAAACTTGTCAAATACCCTATTATATTTATATTTTTTTTGACTTTATATTCTGAAGAAAACAACACTACAGACAAGTGTTGTATAAAAACAGTATTGTGTGTAGTACTATAAGAGCCGAGAATTCAAATCCAAAACATAAAATCAGTTGTAAAGGAAAGTCATTAACTTAAACTTTGAACTGGATTGTGAGATAAAACATAAAATAGATTCTCTGATAATAATAATCTCCTACAGATTATAGTTAGTTAGTAATTACCTGTTTCTTGTACATTTCTTCGACCTTCTCGGCCATCTCAACGACGGCATTCTTGATTTTGTCGATGACGGGTTCAGTGGCTTGCAGCACGTCATCGACGATCTTAGCGATGTACTTAACAATGTGGTTTCTGATGACAAAATAAATCATCATTGACTCTTAAGAAAGTAAAATTAATTGCATTTTGAAAAATAATGTTGTTTTAGTATAATTTGTGCTTCGTAATATTTTTTATTGAATGTTTGGTTATTAATACTCTGTATTTTGTCAATTTAAGAAGTGAGATATAAGGTATCGCTATTCACAGGTCTATCACTCTAAGACCAATCGTAGAACCAATTCTTTGAATTAATTAGTGATGGATGATGAATGGAGTTATATTGTTATAATATAATACTGCTTTCACCACTTACAATGATTCCGAGATCTCCTTGAGAACTTGGTCGTTGGCGACTTCCTGGTAGATCTTCTTCAGATCTTCCTTGTAGGCGTTCTCCAACTTCTGGTAGGTCGGCTTTACTCTCTTCAGCGTGTTCTTGAAGTCCTCGCTGGCCCTATCTCCCAGTTGTTTCACCCGGCCTTCTAGGGTTTCCAAATCCTTCTTCAGTGCGTTCTGTTGAAGACAATTATCATGAGAAATACCCAAACATCAGTTTACTTAAAATATGTGTACTGTACATCAATGTTCTTGTCCGGTACAATAATTTTAAAACAAATGAATTATTTGATTTCGACGATAGGAATACCTAAGTACTGTTTTCTTTTGCCTGAGTAAAACATAAGGGTTACTTTTATGCTTATATTTAGCTATTTATTAGTCTACCTACAAAGAAGTAGATAAATTAAAGTAGATATAGATGCAAAGTTTTAAAACTGAATACTATATGAAGAGGATCTTAATAAAAAAGTAAATAAATAGGGCAACCATAATAATATGTTTCCGCGTAATTTGCTTTTCCATCAAGAAGATTTTACTTTTGAATAAAAAGATGAATTCTTGAAAGAAACTTACAAGGAAGTAGTTGAAGTTCTCCTTGGAGATGCCGTAGTCGCTCTTTACAAGGTTGTCCTGCAGGAACAAGGCACCGTGGACGATGTTCTTCTTGTCTCCACCGAGGATGATGTCTGCGCTGATATCGACGCGCTTCTCTGGTTCAATGTGACCGATGATGGACAGCTTACGGCCGGATTCGTCTATAACAAGTAACCTTGGTTAGTTAGTTGATTTCATTTGCCAACAACTTTCTTTAGTTGATGTTGTTGAAGATTAAAAGTGTAAGGAAACAGAAGAATGGGTGATTATTTTTTTAATCCTCAATATGATATTTTTGCGGTAATTCCATAAATTCTTCAAAGTTTCACGTATAAGGTGGGAACTATAAACTATAACATCATCTACATACAAAATAAAATTTTATCAGGATTTAAAATGTTTCCCGAGTATTTTGTTGGGACTATAAATTGGGTAGGCAACGGCGTGAGTGGTATTTTTTGTGTTACTTTTCTATAGGCGGTGGCAAGTTAACCATCAGGCGGACCAAATTCATGTTTGCCATCTTTTTTACAAAAAATAATCAAAACATCATCCACATCACTCGTCAACATTATCAATATCAAACTTTATCCAGATGGGCGTTAAAGTTCGAGTGAGATAATAATCACCGCTATAACCTGTGGTGAACTCGTAGTATTGGTAGTCGCGCACGATGGCCATCACCTGTACCGGCTTGCCTTCCAGCAGGCTGAACTTCAGGTTGCCTTGTTGGAGGCCTTCCTTCACTGTCGCCGATCCTTCTACGTCGATCACTTTCACGAGGGGAGTTTCGATCTGAAATTATCGTATTGATATTACGACTAGCCTTTAAAATAGAAAACGAGGAATTAGCTTGAAATATTGAAATAGGTTTGTTGTTACATTTGAAATTAGGATGGACGAGACAAAATACTCTGCAGTGTTAACTAGTTTCTATCATGAAAAGCATTAACAAAGGAATAACCATTTCTAAATTGTTAGATCTGTGGAGCATCTTTCAAATAAGAAAGCTCTTTAAAGTAAGAAGTAGTAACTAAGATTTGTTAATTAAGATAAGTATTAAACTTACGTAAATTTTAGCATGTGTTGGGTTGAACTCGACCAGCATTTTGCTCTCGCGGTCCTGAGAAAAATAAATGAAATATTTAAATGAAAATGGTGTCTAATTTGAAGATGAGTAAAATTTTGATTCCATTATACTCACTCCAAGACTTGGGTGGGAGATGGATGCGCCAGATTCATATTTGAAACCGTTCTTATCCTGAGTGTTGAGCTTAGCGCGAACCTTCATCAGTGCTTCCTGTTAAAGAATTAATAAAATTGTAGTTCATTGCACAAAAATCAATTATTTAAAAATAATTGACTTTAAAATAATAAATGATCTGTTGAAAAAACTAAATTGATCTCAAATCCATTACTAATGTGTTCTAAGATGTTAGGTTTAATTAGTAAAACAATGGACCAAGTAAAGCGAAATCCTTTATCCGTGAGTATAATAGTCACCAAGAGATTGAACGATCGCGGGATCCAGTTTCCACTGGACCTGAGACCTTAATTTTCCTGACCTTAGTTATCGTAGAGCAGATAGACAACTGTTTTACTGACCTTGCCAAGTTTCGGGTGGCTGAATCCAATCTCTGCAAAAGCGGTGTGTTCCTGCTCGTTTCCAGTGACGTCTACCAAGATTCTGGCGCCGGATTTGAGCTGGGGCTTATTCTTGTCCGGATGAAGGGTTAGTTCTCCTCGAATCGGGAACGGCATCGCCTTGTCCGTGGGGTATGACACTACTGATTCAATCGCCATCACACGGGTTGGTAGGGTGATGCTAATGCCGGCGGGGAAACCTTAACAAGGGAAAATTGACCATAAATATATAAAAGTCGAACAAGCATAAAGGAATGGAAAGATAGTTAAAGATGTTGGTATAATAAATAGAATAATAATATAGAAGTTATCAATAAGACGGGGGTTGAAGAATATGAATTCTTGAATTCATTGCAACGAAGTTGTGAATTTAAGTATTATTTCGAAGATATTCACATTGAATTAGAGTGATTTATTAACAATAAGTTACATAAAGGGCAACTAGATGAGGAGAGATGAAGATCTAACTCCACTATATTAATACGACCTATGTAATTATTGAAGACTGCTGGTGTAGTCGATTTTTTTCTGATTCTCCTCCATGCTTCAGAAGGCACGCTAAGCCATCAGTCCCCGTTTGCATCTGAAGTCGTTAAAACCCATCAACCCCATTAAACCCACGTGGTGGGTTATGGCCAAATTACCCAAGTCCATCTACAGGGAAGACTTGTGTCCTAACAGTAGAATGATGATGATAGTAATAGATAATGATGCAATAGATGTAGAGCATAGCATTATTTATCACTTATGCAATTAAAATTATTTATTTATTTTATTTATGCAGTATTGTTTTTTCTGTTTTTTCTTTGATATTAATAGATAGCGAGGTAGGCCTTATGATATTTTATTGGGCAAGCACAGCAAAAAACAGCATTGCCCGGCGACAAAAAAATTCCACAAGCTCCAAAGTTTACCATCTTTAGACTAAAAATTTAAATTGTAATTGTTAAGTCTAATTAATTTATTATTTAATTATTAAGGGCGACAAATAAAAATAAGAACAGGTGCTGGGGTCTAAAACAAATATAAAAAAGGAAAAAATAATTAATAAAAAATCCGAGTGCGGGATTTGAACCGACGACCGCGGTGATGCGGCGAACGTTAGTCCCGCGGCAAAAATTTAACACATTGCGCTAGCGGTGGGTCGTTCTCAAATTTTTTGACGACGAAACACAACCGCTTTCTCTTAAACGAAAACTAGTCATCTAAACAGTTCTCGTTCGCAACTGGTTTTGGTTGCGGCTGGGTGACGCAGCGAAACGACACGCGACGCGAGACGATCGAACGAATGTAACGCAACAAAACTGAACTAAATGAAATCTTGTTCACGTTCGTTTCGTTGCTGCGAACGAGACGACGAAACATCGAAATAAATGTAGTGTTATACGATAATCGACTTTATATGTTCACTAATAAAGATTATATTATTGTAAAATCAAAGCTTAATTGTCATAGAACGAAACGGCCTCATGCAATGATATGAATTCTATTATAGACTGTATTTACTTCAAAATAAAGTATATATTGGCGTGCAGATAATTCGAGGACTAGTTGTTCGACGAAGACTGTTTTGATCCGAAACGTAAAACGGTTCTATCGTCGCGGAACACAAAACGGTCCTTGAAACCGGTTCGTCTTTAGAACGCTCACACCTACATTGCGCCGTTTCGGTCGATACTGGCAAGGCGAAAATTGGGTTCATATGCACTGTTGTCAGGTTATTTTCGTTGCGGATTTTTTTGATTCGGTCGCCGCGCTCTAAGCCCGCGATAAAATCTATGCAATAGCTTAAAAATGACACTAGAAAAAAATGTTAGACTTACGTCCATGCACGGGCTTGCTGTACACCTGCAGGTGGTACTTGCGGTGGTCCTTGTCGACGTGCAGGTCGAGCGACAGCGTCGGCAGCCGGCCCTCTCCCGCCTCACTCACCACCTCCAATCCGAACTCCGGCGCTACGCCAAGCTTACGCAGGTCGAAGATTACGTTGAGAGTGTGTTGGACAATGCCTGGTTCTGCGTAAGTAAAAGCTTCATTATAAGCAGGTATGTTGATAAATAGATTAATGTTTTGTGATCAATTCCGGGAGGTGAATTGGTTAAGAAAATTACTTCCCGGGTTTTGTCAACACGTTGCAATGGGAACCATTTAGTAAAACTGCAATATTAGATCTTTGCCTTACGAGGTCAGCTCAGTACAAAAACCACTGTATGATTTATTTTGTATGTAATATTACACGGCAGCGTTAAATCATTGAAGTAACTAAAAGAACAAAACTTGAATAAATTCCATTTAGCAAAATTCTGCTTTGTTTAATATAAAAAAAATATTAAAGTCACAGCGTATAAACGTCTTACGCGCCAATTCAATTCTACCTCCTCACATCAAATGTCTAAAACTGGCTAATTTAACAGCCTTTGTGACATTTGGCTGTGTAATGCTGTGATGTCAATAAGAATATAGCCAAAGATGAGGGTTCGTATCCCGTCTGATGTTTGGATGGAGTTGATTTCGTTCTAATAAATTTCCTTTTGTAATAGATTTGCACTCACTCTGTACGTTCAGTTTGGAATGCAGTTCAGCGTTGGCGCACTGCTTCTTCTCCTCGCAGTAAACGTATGAGGTCTTGTATTCGAGATTGGTGACACGGGATTCCGCAACATAGCTGCGTTCGCCGATGGCCACGTTCAAGAATGTCTGACGAAAGAAAGATCAGTTATTTGTAATGAATATTAGAGGATACATTAAGTCGAACTCTTAGGAAATATCGAATCTTGTATCACACAGTAGGTTGTTTTTAAGCTCCACTAGTAGCAATTTTTCATTTTAAATCAAACTTGATTTTACCCATAGAAAAATGTTAAAATATCAATGTCAATTTCACATGACTGTATGGGCTAAATCTCATTTTAGTTGAATGGAGATTTAGTGAATATACTGCAAGTGGGCCCAAAAGTACCATCGCAGAAGTCTGCGTAAAGTTTATTCGAACTAACGAACAGTGAATGCAAACGATTCCGCTGTCAACTAGAAAACAACGTATCATATGAAGAGAAGGTTTGAAAAACCCATTATTGAAAGACTTAGACCTGAATTGAATGTATAATTTAAGTCAAACAAAACCATTAAAATGTGACATGTTATACAAATCCGTTATGTAGTTAATGCGTGATTGAGTTATAAATACACAAACTTCCACATTTATTATATTATATATATATATATATGAGTAGTAAAGTAGGATAATAGTATTCAACAGTTCCCAGGATTTAACTAACCTCAACGCCTTGCTCGCTTCCTTCAGTGAGGACAGTACGGATGTACTTGAAGTTGGCGGACTTCTGTTCGTCACGGACTTTAACGGAGCCAGAGCCTTCGACGATGGTCTTGGAGCCTTCCTGTTTGCTGATGAATGAGGTGCTGGAGAAAGAAATGAGATATAAACAGTTAATAATGAATTAAAAGCAAAGGACGGTTACCATAATCAAATACTAATATTTTTGAAGTTGCTGAAGCCTGCACAACAAGAGAAGAAAATCATTTTAATTCAGTTTGAGTATTTTATAACTCAACTAAATACCTTATCTTGTATTTTATTATCACAATTTCATTGAATTATGAAAACTGCTTTATCAAGGGAAATCCCCTGAAAGTTATGTCTTGATAACAACTTTTTAATGATCCCATGCTGGATCATAAAAAACATAAGAATGCAGGTAATGCTAACTCTTTCCAAAATTAATCATAAAAACCTGCAGATCAGCCATCCATGCAAAAGATTTTGCTCGATTTCGCAGTGGTCGGTCATTGGATGGGTGGCCAAAAACTTACTATCCCGTGTGCCTCCGTGGTTCGGAAAGCACGTTAAGCCTCTGATCCCGGTTACATCTGCAGTCGTTAGCACCTAACAATCCGCACTGTGCCCGCGTGGTGGGTCACGGCCTAATCTCCGTATTCCATCCATATCAAAGGCATTTGCCTTATAAAGTAGTCTCACCTTCCGCTCAAAATGTTCTTGTTGTCGTTAACCGCGTTGAATTCCAGGCGCTTGCCGCTTCCAGAGTCCTTGCTTGAGATGTCCACTTTGTAGTTCTTGAGGCCGAACTTCTCAGAGTTGGCTTGCAACTTCAAGAACATGTTGTCTTTCTGCACGTTGACTTCACTCACAATGTCCATGGAGATGTCGCGAACGTTTTCAATCTTGATTTCCATCTTGCCTTGGGTCGAGCTCAAGGAGTTGCCCTTCAAGAACAATCTGGGTGATGACAGATAAATTGTATTATTACAGTGGTATATCATTTTTGAAACTGCTTATAGAATTTGAAGATTGGGTTAAAAAATAGAGTGATCCTGGTATTCGAAAGTTAAAATAAAATGTTTAATTTAACACTACATTTTTCACCTAAGAAATTGTTGTATTAAACATTTTTACAATTAAGTTTGATAGTTTTTGTCTTCACCAGAATATAGATTATTTAATTTCATAAAAAAAGGATAAGCCGCAAATTTTTACCACCTAACCAAACCAAATTTGCAAAAATCACGAATTGATGAATACGACCAAAATCATAGCCAAGATAACTTCTGATTTCACCTACTTATCAAGTAACTATATATAATAAATAAAATACAAAAATCACTAGCTGAATATTATAAACAAACAAATTAATAGTCAAGATGAGATGCAATAAAGACAAACCTGCTGGGTTGCGGCTGGCTAGGGCTAGAGTACTTGATGTCAAGCACTGGGTTGGTCTTGGAGTAGACCACGAGGGATTCAGATTTGTATACGCGTCCATCAGCGTCTACTACTACTACTGATGATACTGTATCGGGGGTTGGCCTCTGTTGGAGAATAAAATTGGTAAATGAATCGTCTAATTTAACTGGACAAAAGAGGATAGAAAGAAGATTCTGAAATTTAAAAATTAAGTATGCACTTTTCAGTTGTTTCTGAAAACACTATGTATCTATAAACTTTTAAAATATGAAAATTTGAGAGGTTTTCGTCGAAAATGCTTATTGTGAAAAGTTTAGAATATGACCATTCCAAAGTCTAGTGTAGTCTTACTGCAGTTCTAGTCGTAGTATTGATTGATTTTGGTTTCTGCATAGAATGGCACTTACAAAATTTTAAATAAGATTCCTAAATCATCATCAATTTCATCGTTATAAATATTGGATCATAAAAATTTTGTTGCCTTCAGTTTTTGCTTTAATTTATAAGTTTTACCTTGGTAAGCACGCTCAGCTCCAGTTTCTTGAGTTTTTCAGCCTGAGGTGCGTTGCCGCGAATCACGATGTTGTACTCCTGGTTCTGCGAGGTGGCTTCAACCGCTACGGAAGCAGATTTACCCTTGCCGTACTGAGACTTCACTTCAGCGCTGGCGAACTTCTTTTCGCCTATGGGCATTTTGAATTTTATAGTATTGCAGTATTTACTTTTGGGAAACTAATTATTATATGGTTTAAAATTAAGGTTATTAAAAGTAATGAAATAGAACTGCATCTGTTTTTTACAATAAAGGAGGCACAATGAGGTAATATATTGTCTTCGTTTTTAGTCTCCCTTTTTGAGTTTTAAAAATTTCGGAAAAGAAAATATGATTCTGATAATTAGATTTGGGAAAAGTACATAAAAGAATAAGACGATGGGTTAAGTCACACCAATAAAAAATAATACTTTTGAGGAAAAACAGTACAGTAACAGTTGTAGTCCAATACATCGTGTGAAGCATTGTCTTGTGAAAAACGGCACTATGCCACCATAAACACCAGTAGTAGACAAAGGTTATTTGATGATATCATGAAGATTTTCCTATTTACCTTCAAATTCAGCCTTGTAGCTAGTATCAAGAACGAAAGGCTCGTTGTGTGGTACTTGCAGCTTGACTTTTACTTGGCCATCCTTCTCTCCAACACTACCGCTAGATACCACTTTGTACGCGTCTGCGTTTACTTGTAATGACTGTGTCACCATGAACTGTAAACCATCATTAAATAAATATTTAATTTATTGGAGTCATTATTATAATTATATAGGATTTGTGTATATGCGGTGTCGTTGTGCGTGTAAGAAAATAATAGAATTCATTACTGTTAAATAGAAAGTAAAAATATGCAAACAAAAAATGCTAACAGTTTCCCTGTTAATACTTAACTCATTACCCGAAAATCTAATGCTTTTGATCAGTGGTTGGATCGGGATCAACGCAACGGCTCATTATGATTATAATCACAGGGAACATATAACATTATTGGTCATCATAACCATGAAAATCTTTTGCGTAAGTTTATTTTAATTTTATTTTATGGATATATAGCATGAGACTTACCTCGATGTAATCCTTGTCTGTTTCCATCATGAAGAAGTTGAAGTTAACCTTTACGTCATGGTAGTTTTCGAAAGGCAGGCGGATAGTCAGCGTCGCGTTTTCATCGTATCTACGACAAAATATATAGTTTCTTTAATAAGCAATTTTATTTTCAAATTTAATATTCCTCTGATTCTTAAGTTACATTTCTGTTACGGAAACAGAAATCATAAAGGCTTTAGAGTTCATCAATACTCAAACAGACTCAGATCAGAAAATTTATCAAGTTAGTATTTCTTCCTTGATTTCCTTGGGGATCGCACCCTGAATCATAAATAAATCAAATGCAAGCTACTTTGCCACGGAGGTCTATATACAGAAGAGAGATTCTTCTGTATATAGACCTCCGTGGCAAAGTAAAGCGTAAAGCATTAATATTTGCTCTTTAATAAACTGGAAAATACTTTCACCGCGTCTGATCTTGAAACGTTAATCTAGTCAAGTTGTGACGATGCGGCAGAGTCCTACCGCACCAGCATAAATAACATTGCAAGCTTTTGCTACAGGGGAACCCCCTATACACGCAAAATAATCTCCAAGTGAATGTCAAATCCCAATAACAAAGCCGAAGAAAACCCACAGCGTCTGATGGTTTAGTTACCTGGAGATGTGTCTAACGCTATGGCTGTCGCCGATAACTGCAGCGGTGTCATCGCGCAGTTCGAAGCTGTATTCGTCGCCAAAGTTGCCCTTCAGCAGGATGTTGGCATCGGTGAAGAAGTTGCGGTCATCAGAATCAGCGTATAGGACATCGGCCAATAAGGAAGCTGGTTTAGGCATCATGTTGCCGCTGACATCGCTCTGGAAGAAAACAAATCTATTTAGAAACTTCTTTATTCTTACGCACTACTACGCTCTCACTATTGTTGGTCTTGGCGTACCCATTCTCTCACTCTCCTGTTAAATATTATTTTATTTTATTTATTGCCCTAAAGGAGTGGGAATTGTTATTTTTTATCTGAAATTTTAATGGTTTTACTTGAGAAACCAAATGTGGCATGGGTCGGGTAATAAATATTGTTAAAAATTAATACAAACAGACTAAAACGTTTATGTTTGTGTATTTAATAATGTATTATTATTATTGTGTATAATAATATTGGTATCACTGGTTGGCTAGTAGAGAAAGTTTAGGTTCGACGTTTGCTTATCTGTGGCAATAAAATTAATAAACTCCAACTTGTAACGATAGTTATTGAAACTTCTTTAGCGGTTGTTAGAGTTTTATCAATTGCCATATACAGAATTAAAGATTCCTTTACGTACTTATGTATGTTAAATGTGAATATTTTATTACCTTGAAGTAGAACTTGAACTTCTCTCCTTCGGGCTGGTTCTTTACAACGAATGCGTTCTGCAGTTGCTTGCCGTCCTTGAGATGGACTTCCACTTGTCCCTCGTAGTGGTAGAGGCTCTTCTCCAAGTCTCCGTTCACGATCTTCGCTTTATACACCAGTTTGGATGCAGCTCCTCCTCTCTTTACAGCGTCTGATAGAACCAACTCAGCATGGCCGTTGTATACCTAAATGTTTGACGGAATTCATATTATAATGTTAGTTGAGACAGTAGATAGTAAATAAATGAGAATAGTTCATTTGACTAGCAGAGCAAATTTTAGGTAAGCATTATTTTTTTTTACTAGAAAAAAATACATTCGGTCCACCTTTTGCACATGATTCGAACCTGCGCCATCCACTGTCAGGGCTAAACAGAAGTGATTGCTTGCACAGCGGTCGAGGTGGACAAAGTGATCAACTACCAACCAGGACCATAGTGGATGTATCAAATTTCTTCTAGTATTTGTAGGTAACAAGCGGTATTACTAAACAAATACATACACTGTCCTTAGAGCTGATATCTCTGTCGAGTTTCATGGAGAGGCATCTTTCAGTAGGCAGGACTACTTCCACATTAGCGTGGGATTTGCCTTGCAGAGAGCCGTCCAGATGCACATTCACTTCAGTTTTCTGTCCGCCATATTCTAGCTTGTTCCTAAAGAAGATTAAATTTTGTAAGAATAATTGAACATAATTATCTGTAAACTTTTGGTTGCTCATCAAAGGTAAAGATAAAATAATGATCAAACTTTGAATAGGGATGATGACTGTTTTTTTTTCTTCGTTTATCAGGTTTATTTATTTAGATTATTAATAATTAGATTATCAAAAAGTATTGGACACGTATTTTATCTTTTTGCACATAATATAAACATTGCAGAGATATTGATTTGAAAATTCGCATGACGTCACGTTTTTCACGAGTCCCTACTTCCAAACTTTGTCGCGCTATAACTTTGTCATTTTTTGGTTGATTGCCCAAAGAAAAAATACGTGTCCATTTTTTTTAATCATCTAACTGACGGACTAAATAGAATTTCGTTTACTGTACCCCGTCATCACCCATATTAAGACAAAATAACCATTGGTAAATAAGACCGATGAACTAAAGCACAAACTTATTTACTTGGTCTCAAGGAGCTTGTCGGTCTTCTTGTTGGTGGTGCTGAAGTGGATCTTGTCATTATTGTCCTTCTCAAAGTTAAGATAGATGTCGACGTCCGCGTTGTATACGGGGTCTTTAACCACGAACTTCACGTCACCCTTCAATTTGCGTTGAGACTGAAAACAGAAGATAAGATAGTGTAGCCACTATTAAAGCTACAAGACTAGTCGTACAAGATAGTGAATTTTTCTGTTCGACTTCTTAAGGAGATACTCACGATGTTACATTTAAGAAGTCTCAAAACAACAATTCTATAAAACAAAAAGAAATGTATTTAAACAAGTTTAAACAGTACTGTTATATACACCTCTTCAGGGCCGGATTTAGGGGCGAAAGCCCCGCGGCCTCCACAAACGGGGGCCCCCACAATAGAGACTACGGAAAATAAAAAATTTCAAATTCCAACTAGTAAACACTAGTAAACCTCTTTTCCTTTGATATTTTTTTTTGCTCTTTTACCTTTACCTACCTAAAAAAAATGTTTACTTTATTTGGAAAATAATTTGGGGTGAGGGGGCCTCCGCTCCTCTGTTGCCCCGAGGCCTCTGGAACTCTAAATCCGGCCCTGCACCTCTTAATGATGCTAAATTTTTCATTGTTTGGGTTTAAGATGTAGATTGGAATTGATAGTGATTAATTACTAACTGATCATTACAAAAATTTTAAAACTATTCTATACATTGATTGACTTTTAATTGCGTGTGTATGCATTTTCTCTCGTTACAACATAAGACTTTCACACTTATAATATTAAGTTGCTTAACGAATAAGTAAATGCTCACCTTCTTGAAATCAACGATTATCATTCCGTTGCCTTTGCCGTCACTGTCTGTGACCTTGAACTGTCCATTAGCGGCGACGGAGTCCTTAAGGATGAGTTTCAGCTGTCCTGTGGGGTTCGCACCACGAGTGATCTTCAGCAAGTAATCCAAGAAGTCACCCTTAGAGTATGACACTTTGGCGTGAGAAGAGTATAGCTTGGGATTCTCGATAACTCCGATATCGAATCTGGAGGAACAGTAAGATTTATTTTAATTTTGATTCATCATAAAACTATACAACCTAACAAATGCTCAATTAGAATTTTACCAATAGTTCATAGAAAAGATGTGATACAATAATAATGTAGCTAACATTTTTATTTTGAGTATTTTACTGATAGATTCATGAATCAAAGGAAGAAAGTCACTCAGGTAGTGGAAGATGCAGGTTTGGATCCGGTTTGATGGCTGCGTCAGTTTTTGTAGTAAAACCTAAGAATGACTAAGTGAAACTTACTTGACATCCTCACTCTTTGATCCAGCGGAGATTTTCAGGTGGCCGATAGCACCAACGTTGATGTCATTTGGCTTATTTCTGTGCAAAACGACACCAGACAACTCGTACTTTCCAACATTCCTGATCTGAATGTAGTTCTCCAAGTTTGATTTGTCGGCCGAAACGATGTCTCTCTTAGCGACAAGTTCAAATCCTTGGGTGTCAAATTTAGTCGATAGCTTGACGGAGTAGTCTCCGGCCTTCTTGATTTGAGTTCTGGAGTCGAGTTTTATTTCTCCCTTCTTCTCGAAGTACTGGCCTTCAATGTCGATGTCGAGTTTCCTTGGGTCAGCCTCAGCGTCTACTTTGACCTTCAGAGGGAGAGCTTGGATTTCGACTAAAAGTAAGGGTAAAATTGTTAATATTTAAAATTTTGATCAATAATTACAATTGCAGTCAATAATGTATCCCAGTAGAATTAAACTAATATTAACTTATAATTTTTATTATTTTTAAAGCATGTAACTGCTTGATGTTTAAATCTAAAGAAAATATAACTAGAAAAAATTCCACGCGGACCAGGCAGCAGACGGATTGTGGGTTTACCTATAATGCGAAGAGATGGCGCTGCCTTGCAGCTTAAGAATAGCTAGAAAGAATTTCGACGCGGTCCGTGAGGGCCGCGGTAGCATAATTGGTCAGTGCATTCGCCCGGATTGCGAAGGGTGCGGGTTCGAGTCCCGTCTGCTGCCTGGTCCGCGTGGAATTTTTTCTAGTTATATTTTCTTAATATTAACTTTTTAGCAAATCTAGATAAAATCAGTAGATCAGGTAGATTTTGAAGAGATACATGTGTTGCAGATGTTTGAACAATTTTAATTAATGAAATTAGTTAGTTTTGAGGTGATGACTTACATTTGTTCTTAGTGATAATGTTGTACTTGTCTGAGGACTCCACGTGGTATTTCAGGAGTTGGTTAAAGATGATACGGCTCTGTGAGTCCGTGAGGTCCCCGCCATAAATAAGGTCAACGTCGTTGTGAATCTGTAAGGATATCAATGTGTTATAGTTTAATTTTAATTTTATCTTTCGATCAACAATTCTGTAGATAACGGGTTGCATACAAAATCAAAGCTAAAAACTGTCCGCGGATATTTAAACTTATTCAGCTACATTCGATTCCCAATGAATAAAGATAAATGTTTTAAAACAGTTTAAGTTGGACCTAATAACAACTGTCTCACAAAGGAATAGGGTTACAAATAACAAAATGTTATTTCGCATATACGACCTTTTATCTTAAAAAACGAACTGTTGTTACTTTTATAATTCATATCTGATACTTGGAAAAAAACGATAAAGGTGAAAAAGGAAAATGTGAAATCAACCTTAGGACCCACAACTTAAAATATTTTACGCGCTGACCCGTTATCTAAAGAATTATTGATCGAAGATTTCTTAAAAGGAATTGATCTTACAAAGAATTTGTAAGATCAATTTTGAAATTTATAGAAGTAAATTTTTCATCTGTTGGTTTAAAAAATAATAATTACCGTGTCTCCATATTCGAAGTGTCCGTTGAGTTTAAAGTTAACATTTGGGTTGAGATTATTCCTGAGCTCTAGTTTGGCATCGTGTCCCTTCAGAGAACCGCTCAACATGCAATTGTAGTCTCCTTGTTTCGCCTTCAGGTCGAGTTCCATGCCATTGGGCAACTGGCTGTATTGGCCATTAATATCTACTACGTCTTTAGCATTAGGAAGGTGCAGTTTCACTCCTTGCATAGTGTATTTTGTGACAGGTGGGCTAATCTCCCTGATGATTTCACCTTCTACTTTGATGGACTTCTTACCGCCTTGTTCTGGTAACTCGTATTCAATGATGGGTCGGAACACACTGCGTTTGTCGTTGCCTTGGACAGTGAAACCAGCCTTGGCATAGTATACGGCATGGTCCATCTTTCCTTTCAGGAGAACAGCATATTGGGAAGATGAGGTGTACAGAGAAGCTTGGCCATACAACGTTTTGATGGGGGAATCCAAAGACAGTATGATTGACTTTTCGTCATTGTTGTTTACCAATTCTCCGGTGATTTGGGTGCGGCGGTTCTTTGATCCTGAAAAATGAAAAACCAGTCAATAGGTATTTTGTTCTGAAATAACTTAGGAAAACTTTGTAAATACTATGTAATGTTTTTGTTACCTTCAGCTTCGAATAACAGTTCGAAGTTTCGCCTCTCAGGGCTGACACGGTAAACGCCCTTGACGTGGTATCCACGAAGATCGTTCTTTTCAAGAACCAGTTTCACCTTAGAAGCTCCAGTTAGCGGATAACGAGCGAAGAACTTGGAAACGGAGGCTTGAGCATCGGGACCTGTAGAAAAATAGCTATATATTCTAATCTATTTTATTATTGATAGCAGAAAATCATATTAATTTACTTTTTAAATCGAGGTTACGAAACTTACCAGAGACAGAGAACGGTATGGAGAGTTCCCCGCAGACAGTTACACCGAGCATTCCAGACAGTTGGTCAAAGCACGCGGAGTATTCCTTCCTAGCAACGTCGGTCTTGATAGCGATATGTTTCTCGAGTTGTCCCTTTTCGGTGGTAAAGTAGACTAAATCGTTGGAAGCGGTCAATATTTCTTGCTTCTCGATGGGGAGTCCCATTTGGAGGTCGAAGCCGTTGCCGTTTTCTAAGACTTTAGCGATGACATGACCTCCAGTTGAGGAATGGAGGTTGGTAATGACTTTGAGTCCAGTAGCGACAGCGTCTGCGTCGACTAAGAAGAGACCGGAGAGTTCGATGTCAGTGCTTGGGATGAGTTTGATGTCGATTTTAGCGTTTTGTGGGCTGCGAATGATCTGTCGAACGTCGACGTTGGTGCCGATATCGACTCGAGCGGTCGCTGAACCAACCAGGTCGAGTTTTAGTGGAAAACCGGTCGATGTGGGGTACGCTAGCTGGGCGTCCAGGAATAGGAGATTGGTGCGGAGTTCATACTGTAAGAAAAACGATAGGTGAGCTAAATTCACAAGAACTCTTATAAAAAATATAAAACAATAAAGGAATTAGTACTACTGGCATTGAAGGATACCAATATGTATTTAAGGTGAGCAACAAAGATTGATTGATTGATGAAACAGATAACTTTGAGTGATCTTAATGATATTTGTTTCTTAGGTTTTCACGCACACCACTCATGAAATAAAACAAGTTGCAACAATATAGTGCACTGATTTATTTATTTATGACGTTTTGCATCCTTTTTAGGCTGTGTCATCAGAATTAAACGTCATAAATAAATAAATCAGTGCATCTATACCGTTGAAAATTGTTTTATTTTATCTTAATGATTTAAAAATTGAGAAATTGAACTTAAGTTTTTATTAGGAGGAATGCTTACTTGGAAGTTCTTGAGGTCGTTCAAAACCTTGTCTCCCATCTGCAGATGCTGCTTGATAAGCTGGTGGATGTCGATGCTCTTCTCGTCGCCAAACGAAAGATACAGGGCATCAGTGCCAAACATTTTCAGGTACAGGTCTAATTCCAGTTCGTTGTTGTACGGCTCTGCTTCATCCTTCAACTGTGGAGAAAAAGTTAAATTCAATACCGTCTAAAAAATTGCAAACCTGAACTAATTGTATTTTCATATCGATATTATTTTATGCAAATTTACGACTAATAAGTTGTTTTTCAACTAATTTGGAAATATTTTTAATGATAAATCGCTTTCCATGTTTTAATGACACAAAAAGTAGATTTACAATACTGCCGTCCTTAAACTAAAGTGCGGCTAAGTGACATGTGGTCGATTTTTCAGCCCTAAATTGCATCTTATATAGTTTTTATAACTCTATCGATCTGTCTTTAACAAGTATTCGTATCTTTTATAGTTTAAGTCTTAAAATCCGTCGTGTGCTGAATGGTTACAAAATAGCCATAACTAGCAAACCAGTGAACCAAATGTTCACCAAAACCTGATTTAAAAAAAAATGTATTTAATTAATTGAGAACTTCGGAGATTTTGTGTGGTTTCGTTTGAAATAGAAATCACGTGATTTCTCGAAAACCGGAAGTGCTACGTTACTCACATCCGGTTTGTAGTCTTATCAGACTATTCTTAACTTATAACTTAAACATTCTCTATATCTATCTCTTACGGTTTGGCCGCTGAAACAGCACCACGGACGGACGGACGGACGGACTTGTCTAATAGATAAGAGATTTTCAGTTTACGAGCCGTTTTTGGCCATATCTCAAAAGTTGGTTGTGTCATTTAGCCGCATTTTAGCTTCAGGACGGCAGAATAGGTATTGTTTCACGTTTGATGCTTAAGCATTTTTACACAAAGATTTAACGGAATAAGGACCAACGATACACCATTGTAGTAGGTAGCAGCAAAAACATTTGACGGTTCAAAAGAACTTTCTAATTGGTCAAATTTTCATACGATTTTATTAATATACTTACGTGTTTGTCAAAGTTGTCGACATCAGCTTTGACGGAGCGGCGCCCTCTGAGATGAGCGTCAGTTTCCTTCTTGGCGTCTTCATATGTCTTCATGATCTCGTCGACGAGTTCTTGGGGCTGCTTGGTTCTGATCGCACTACGAGGACCGAAGAAGTGTTCAGCTACGCGGTCCAGGTTGCCTTGACGACCTCCGATCTGAAGAAACCGGTTAGTTATTTAGCTAGTACTAACTTAAATTTCTTCGCAGTAACATTACATCGATATATAAAGTCCCGTATGTAGGAAATATTCGTAGACTTATGTTTTGAACTCAAGTAGTGAACCCACATAAACTATGAATGCTCTTAATTTTAATAATTAAAACTTATATAATAATAATGTTTATAATAATAATAATGTTTATTGACATTATACTTTTTACAATTTATGTTTGATTCCCCTGTATTCCAAAATAGGCCTTAGCCTGTAGTATGGAATCCAGTGTCCTCTCCAATTATGTACTTACAATATAATCTTAGCAGTTGTACTGGGCATAACAAAACATTACTATTTTTCTTCACAGTAAAGATAAATAGAAAAAATAACTAAATTATATGTGTGTGTATAGTGAGTCTGGGTGTAGGTGTGCTTGCGTGTGAGTATGTGTGCGTGTGTGTGTGTGTGTGTATGTAGTATGTAGATGCGTCTTGTCTTAAACCACATAAATATCAAGTAATAATTTATAAACACTGTGCTATACTTCCTATATCCGGGTGTTGTCAATCAGTAGATTCTCCACACCATCATAATCTATGTCGAACAACCAATCATTAATAAATTTTTTTAAGCTAAAATTACTACACTTTTTTATCTTTTTAATGTTATTTAATTTGTTGTAAAGTCGTGGTGCCATATATGTATATTGACGACGTGCAAATTGACTTTTGACTGAGGGGATATGACAGCGATCCCTCCTAGTAAGATCATTAGGTAGCTGTGGGATAACATAACGGTGGTATCTGCGAATACTTTCAAAAATATAAAGTTATCTTACAGAAAGTACTTTGAATAATTTGTAAATGTCTGTTGTAGGATGTCTGTAAGGGAGAAACATGACTACTTTTAAAATTGATCGTTGTGCTCGTTCTGCCATAATTAGGTGAGTTTTTGCTGCACCACCCCACACTGGTATGCAATATCTAATTATACTCTCACACAAGGCTTGATAAATTTGTTTCAGGAGCTGCAGATTGGCAACATTCCTAAGATTTTTAAATACGTAAATAAGTTTTCTTATCCTTAGTTGTAGTAATTTAATATGATCTAACCAACTCAATCTGTCGTCAATAACTACTCCCAAGTACTTAATATTGTTAACTTTAGACAGGTAAAGACATTTACAATTCCCTCCTTCACCTTTGTTACATGGATAAGTATGAATTCTTAGTTTATGGTCATTGTTAGGGCTTCCGACAGCAGTTTTACTAAAACACATATATTTGGTTTTTGTTATGTTTATTGATAAAATACTGTCCTCAAGCCATTTCGTGACTTGTTTTAGTCCCTTTTCAGCTGATTCAGTGACTGTTTGCCAACTAGAATTATGAAACATGAGGACAGTATCATCAGCAAACATACTCATGGTGCCGTTCTCAAAGTTGATTTTGCCCAGATCATTGATATAGACCAGGAATAAGGTTGGTCCTAAAGTACTACCTTGCGGCACTCCATAAATACAGTTGGAAAAGTCACTGAGGTACTTGCCCATGCGAACCAACTGTCTTCTGCCTGTCAAGTAACTTTCGAACCATTTCAATGCTACTCCTCTTATTCCGACACCTTCTAACTTAGATAACAGTATAGGAATGGAGACAGTATCGAATGCTTTCTGAAGATCTAGGAAAACACTTATACATTTTTCGCCCTTATCCGTCTGAGATGTAATCCATGACGTCAGCTCTTCGGTGGATCTATTTTTACGAAAACCGAATTGTTCATCAACAAGGAATCTGTATTTTTCTAAAAAAAATATGAGTCGTTTGTTCATAACCTTTTCTAAGACTTTACTTAGTACCGAGAGTATGGAAATAGGCCGATAGTTCGTTGCTTGATCTTTAGCTCCTGCTTTATGAATTGGACTGACTAAAGCTTTTTTAAATATTGTGGGAAAGTCACCACTTTCAAGGCTTAGATTGCATAAATAGGCAATGGGTGTTGTTAAATATTTACCAAAGTACTTATTTATTTTCGTAGGTATATTGTCCCATCCAGGAGAACTATCTTGTTTAAGACTTAGTATAATTTCTTTTATCTCAACTGGATCAGTGGGAGCAGCAGAGAAAGAATTAACGAGAGTATTGTCTTTTTTGGCAGTTTTAGCTAATTCAGTGTCTGTTGTTTTTATTTTATTCAGTGTCTCATTAGCTAAGTCTTGACCAACCGAGGTAAAATATTCATTAACTTTGTTTAGAGCAGCAACAGGATATTTATCTAATCTAAGAAGCTCATCAGCACAGTTTTTCACTTTGGTTATATTACCAACTTCCTTTATAATTTTCCATATGTTTTTTGGGTTACCTTTGTTTTTAAGAAGCTGTTCTTGGTAATATTTATATTTTAAGTTTTTAATGATTTTATTGCAAATATTTCTATATGATATGTACTCATTTTTCACTAGAATATCATGGGGATGTTTTTTAAATTTCTTGTGCAATAAATTTCTTCGTTTAATAGACTTAACTACTGAAATAGTTATCCAAGGTTTTAAAGGTTGATATTTTGTAGGTATTGTTTTTATAATTGTATTATCGTTAAGTAGTTTGATTAGTTTATTCGTTAATAGTTCGGCAGCCAATTGCACGTCCCGTATTTTGTAAAACTCTCTCCATGTTTCGTTTTTTAAATGGTTTTCGATATTATCTAGGTCTGTAATTTTTTTATTTACTCTAATAGGTTTCTTTTTAGTGATAGCTTTATTTATACATAACAGAATGGGTGAGTGGTCAGTTAATTCTTCAAATACTACCGTTTGCCAATCTACAGGACACCGAACCATAAAGTGATCTATACATGATTTGTCTCTTGTAGGAATATTAACCCCTTGTTCCAATCCATGCATAGCCATAACGTCATTCATTCACAGATTCTTTACCATTTCCCGGGAGGATATCTATATTAATATCTCCAGTAAATATTAAAGTGGGACTTTTTATGGATTGCAGAATATTGTCGATCGAATTAAGGAATGGAGTTACATTGCTAAAGGAAGAGGATCTGTAACAACATACAATACATATGTTATCTGGTAAAGTTACGATAAGACAATTAGCGTGCACTATATCTTTTGGTTCGTAGCAAGTGGTTTTAATTGACTCTCGAATATATACCACAATACCATCATTTTGATTAATGGAATTTCTGGTCGCGTAGTATTTATAACCCTGAACCGCAGTAGGCCTAAAGTTATCATTTGTCCAACATTCTGAGAGCACCATTACATCAACATTAATTCTTGTAGTTGCTAGGAATGCTAAAAACATGTCGAGATTTTTGTTTATACTTCTAACATTGAATGAAACCACACTTAGATAGCCACATCTCTTCTCCTTATTTAACATGTGTGCACAGTTAGCTGAGTCATCCAAAGCTATACATTTTGGAGGGCTGAGTCGGTCAAGTTGGTCAATAATATATTTGCTACCTATGAAATCGAATGTTATTGGTAAGGTGAACTGGTCCTATCTTCAGAAGCTTTTCTCTGCGTTTTGTATGTTTTTACGTACAAAACACAAAGATAAAATAATGCAAACCTGATGCACCATAAAGACTGCAATAATAAATTTTCATTCTTGGTAATTGAATTATAATATTTTCCCAAGTTCCCATATTTGAGCAATATAATATGAAGGTTGGAGTTTTTAGAACAATTATTTATTAACGGTACGTTTCGCATATGTTCGATGGCAAGCAAAAATAATGTTATTTTTATCTTATTTTGAGTATCAGCTATTTGATTGACCGAATATATATAAATGAAAAGTATTTGAGGCTTGACAATATTTGATAAAACATTTATTTGTGATAGATTTCGAGAATTTAAGGAGGAAAATAACCTTATCGGTATAATGTTTAATGTATAGGTGATTTTTTGGTAATATCTCTTTGGGTAACCAGATTTAGACTTTATTTGGAGTTTAAAAATTTTGGAAAAAATATGATTCAATGTTATTATTATACAGTATCGATTGATAATTAATGTTAATACTTCCAATTTGTATATAGTATCTGTTCTGTTTTTGATTGCACAAGATTGTTGCTTCATTTGTAAATAGTCAATGGTTTTTAATAAAGTGGCATTGTGTAGAAAATATGTATAATTTAGTTTCCTAATAAATAAAACATGTGTGGTATACAATATGTGTGAGGTGTTATTGTTATTATATAAGTGAGTTTTAAATATGTTTTTGAGTAGTTGAGGTGTTCTTTTTATATGTGTATTATGGTACTGTTTACAAAATGGACAAATTTGAAATAATAAATAAAAAAAATACAAGAAATCATTATTTTCATGCATTGTGTTTTCGGTAGGATTACTTAGTCACTTTAACTTGTCCAGGTCATGATCGGAGTCTACACGTATGAGTTTGTCTCCCTCAGATTTACGTAAGTATATTCTTCCAAACGACGTTCAGCAGTAACGATAGCAATTATAATATAGAATATAGAATCTATTTCAAAATAATGATCTAACACAGAAAATTATCAGACTTGATGTTGAATAAATTTCGAAATCGTTAAGTTCAGTGTTTTTACTTTGAATCCTCATTGGTTTCTAGAAATTCATTCATCATTGCATAATATTCCCCAAAATCATTGTCTGAATATGACGACGGGGTTAAGCGCGATGGAGCGCAGCAGGACGGAGTCCTGAGTGTAAGTATTTAAACTAGGGATATAACGAAGGTAAAGTTATCGAAACCGAAGTCGGAGACGGAGTTTTTAAATTCGATTTATCTGAGTCGGAACCGGAGTCGGAGGCTGAATCGGGGTTAGAGGCATTGTCCTAATACAACGCGATAACGCGAATGAGCGATGCGATCATCGTACGATTCGACGATCAAACATATTGATCTAGAATAGGTGTCCTAACAGGCGATCGCGCGATGCATTCGAGCGACTAAAATGTTTAAAAATCTATTCGCGCGAACTTAGTTCACGCGAACGCGCAATCAAACCTATTAATGATGAATAGGTGTCCTAACTGAACATCGCGCGATGATCGCGTCGCGTCGATAGGAAGCGGGGAGAGGGGCAGGGCTAACCCGTTCCGTATTCGCGTTCTATTAGGACACCCAGTTCGCGATCACGCGATGGTCGCATCGTTTAATCGCGCGATGATCGCGTTATCGCGTTGTATTAGGACAATGCCAGAGGCAGAGTCAGAAGAGAGATATTTTTCATTAAAGAACAATTAAAAACATAATGATGTCTTTAATTGTTCTTTCACTGAATGCAGTCAACCTTTTTTCATTTTAATTATAAAATAACCATTTTTTAATTTAAATTTACTTATTATAAACAAAGACAGTCTCCCAAATCTACAGGTATGAACCAGTTCGTAACGGTCGACGCAGGCCGCTGTCACTATTTGCTATGCTTCAATCTCCGATTTAAAACTTTCGGAGCTGAAATCGGAACCGAAGGTGTAATAATAATCGGAAGTTCCGCCTTATCGGAATCGGAGTCGAAGCTCCGTAACATTCCTGATTTAAACTTACGCTAATATTATGACGACTGATGAAATTAAAGTTAATCAAGTATACTCGTACCTCTAAAACATTGAAGGAGTGTCCGAACATTCCCACGGTGAGATTGAAGGCAGCTGAACGCGGCAGGAATGAATCTTGAGAGTAGATCACGGTCTCTTCTACGTTGCCGGCCAAACCAAGGGCATCTACGTTGAACGAAGCCTCACGGTAAAAGGAGTATTTCCTGAAATAATAGGTCAGCTTAGTATATCTGGCTAGAAATCTTGGTCTACTAAACGAAAAACACCAGCCACCCAATAGTACCGCGTTCAAATCATGGCTAACTCCATAATATTCTTGATAATCAAAGATAATAAACTATGAATAAGCTTGGACCAGTTTTTTTTTCTGTTAATTAAATTACGTCATGTAACAATGCCGCAGACAAAACACTGCGACGTAAAGAATAAATTTCCTAAGCAATAATTATTATAAATGCGAAAGTGAGTTTCTTTGTCACGTTTTCACGGCTAAACCATAGAAGCAGTTATGCTGAACTTTGGTATAAAAAATAAAACTAGATAGGGGTGAAATTTTGGTTGAATGTGGAGCTAGTGAGTGATAAAAACAAAACTGTCGTCAACGTAGAACTTGCTAGGAATGCGGATTTGAGAGTAGTTTTGGCGAGCGAGCTACGTGCCTGCGACTTCATCTACGTGGAAAGATTGGTTTCCCAAACGTACTTTCATTCCCTTTCATCCCTTAAAGGGTTGATTTCTAGGACAACACCAATCCAATGTCCTTTGCCGAGACTCGAACTATCCCACACACCTTCGCATTTATAATTAGTATAGATATCGTAGGATGATATTTTGATAAGCGATTTTCTTGAAAAGCCCCTAGGTTTTTGCCCAACCAATGTCTCGAAGTATCTCTATACCGTACCGTTGAGAGGAGCTCGACGGCGCAAGTGGTTAGCGCTTACGGCTGCGATCGTTGAAGTTAAGGAACTTTTGCAGTGGTCGGTCATTGGATGGGTGACCAAAAATTTACTATCTCGAGCTCCTCCGTGCTTCGGAAGGCACGTTAAGCCGTTGGTCCCGGCTGCATCTGCAGTCGTTAGCACTCACCAATTCGCACTGGGCCCGCGTGGTGGGTCATGGCCCAATCTCCCTATTCCATCGATAGGGAAGGCTTGTGCCCCAGCATTGGGGACATTAATAGGCTGATGATGATGATCTCTATACCGAATTTTATCTAATCTTTCTTTCAGTTTAGCAGTTAAAGTGTGAGTAGGTAATAGACAGTTAAACATACAGCCATCCACACATATTAGTATGGAATTATAGTTATGGATGAATACAAACCTGTCATCAACGTTGAACTTGTTAGGGGTGCGGATTTGAGAGTAGTGTTGGCGAGCGAGTTGCTTGTCAGCGCTGGTGGAAGCGCGGATGTGGCGCAGAGACGACGTTATGAAACGACCCACTGTAAGAATAAATAAATAAATAAATATTTCCGACACTCACACCAATTAGCCTAGCCCCAAAGTAAGCACTATAAGGCTTGTGTTATGGGATGCTAGGGTAACGGATAGAATACATATACTGTACATATATAAGTATATTTATATAAATACATATTAAACATCCATGACTGGAGTACAAATGCTCGTATTCATCACACAAACATCTGCCCCCACCGGGATTCGAACCCGGGACCTCTCGAGCCGGCGACAGCCATGAAACCCGGCGTACAAACCACTCGGCCACGGAGGTCGTCAAGAAAATCGTAAGAAATAGAAATGCTAACTATTGGAATCGTGATCGTGAAGCCTTAGAAACATACCCACCTACAGAAACACAACATCAGCAAAAGGAACTGTTATATTTTTACTGTGTTCTTCTGTAACGTGGAAGTTGCTTCATTAAAAGGGCGCATCAATTCGTATAAGTCTTAGGCCCGTATTACAGAATGACAACTAAGTGTCGATCTTTACTTGAGTACAGTTAGAAAGGGATGTCGCTCTGTATAGCACATAGCGCCATCCCTTTCTAACTGTGCTCAAGTAAAGATCGACACTTAGGCCCGTATTATAGAAAGATTCTCAGTGATTGATCTAGTCTTGAGCATAGTTAGAAAGGGATGTCGCTATATATATATATACTAGCGGACCCGACAGACGTTGTCCTGTATACACGTCTTTGTGAATCTAAACCATTCTCAGATTCCCTTGAACACACACAAAAAATTTCATCAAAATCGGTCCAGTCGTTTAAGAGAAGTTCAGTGACATACACACTCACAGAAGAATTATATATATAAAGATAGTATATAGCGACATCCCTTTCTAACTGTACTCAAGTAAAGATCAACACTTAGTTGTCATTCTGTAATACGGGATTTAATCTCATTTACGATAGATTTTCCGAAAAGAGAATAACTGTTGCAGACGTACTCGAAAACGTCATTTTAATTGAATGCTTTAAAACTTAGTGTTCCCTCGTTCTACTGTTATTGCAAAGAAAGTAATAGCATTAAATGCTATCAAAACTAAGTGAATTGACTTTTCTGAGTGCGCCAAATGCCAAATCTATATGTGGTACCTATTATTGACTTTTTGAAAGCTTATACAAATGTTGTATCAAAAGTAAAGAACACAACTATTTTAATTATATATATCATGAATAAATAAGTGATTTCCTACGTCATTTTTAAGTAATTAAAACTGTATTTACCTTGATGAACGGGCTCAGAATCCAGCATCTTCTTGATCTCGTTGGCGGACCCGCCGCAGGGGCACGCGATCACGGCGAGGTACGCCTTGATACGGATCTCGGAGTCGAGCTGACGGTTCTTCATTATGTCTATGCCGCTCTTCTTGATCTGCATTGGAAGTTAAGATGGAATCGTTACGTTCCATAAAACATTTACCCTTCTACTTTTATTAAGTGTTAAGATTTTTAATTCAAACTAGCAAACCCGGCGAACTCCGTTTCGCCACCAGATGGCTTCGTTTTATGTAACATTTCGTTTGGTGATTAAAAGAAGTTTTTTTTTTTAATTTTTCCTGAATTTTCTTTGCTATAAACCTCACGAAGCCCGAGACCTTTCCAATGAATGCAAAACCGTGGAAATCGGTTCGTGCGTTCTGGAGTTATAGCGTCAGGAAGGAAAACCCGACTTATTTTTATATAGTAGATGATGGGGTTCTCTACCCTTGATGCCTTGTTTGTTCGAATTTTTGAGTTTAGGTATAAAATATTTGATTATTATTCATATTTAGATTCAAGTCTCTTAGGGCTTAGATATAAAATATTTGATATTTTTTCATATTTAGATCCAATTTTATTAACTATTATTTAAGTTAGAAGATATCAATGGCGGAAGTAGTCAGCGATAAATTTCACGTCAAGCAACTCTCATAATGTTTAAATCTAAAGAAAAGTTTACTAGAAAAGATTCCACGCAGGCCAGGCAGCAGACGGGACTCGAACCCGCACCCTTCGCTATCCGGGCGAATGCACCGACCATTATGCTACCGCGGCCCTGACGGCCGTGTCAAACTTTCTCTAGCCTAAGGCGCATTGTAGGTAACCCACAATGTCAAATGAATACTTTTACAAGTATTAAACATTCAAATTCAGAAGAAACAGCAATTATAGTTATGTTGTTATTTTTTATTTTAACCATTTAACTGCTAGATGTTTAAAGCTAAAGAAAAGTTTATTCTCAATCCTCTTTCTTTCAATCCTCCATGCTTCACAGCATGTTAAGCCGTAAGTCCTGGTTGCATTTGCTGTCATTAGTTCATGACCCGTTCTTCTTATGCCTACCACAGAGAAAACCTGGGCCTCAGAAGTGGGGACATCAAAAGACTGATGATAATGATATTAAGGTATACCTTAGACGAGCATGGGTCAGCAGTGTAGGCTTCTAAGGCGGCGACTCGGACGCGTTGTTTGACTCCAGGATCGTTGGCGCATCGAATCACTTTGTCAATAAGACTGTCCTCCAAATGACGGATGTTGCGGATGCCTTTCAGGATGAATACAGCCTGGAGAAAAGATACGAACACATATGAAAAAGAGAATTTATTATTAGGAAACAAGAAATCAAATCAAATCATCTTTATTGTGTTAGAAGAGAAAGTTATCATAATATTAATTCAATAAAATGAAAACTAATTAACAGTAATAAGATATAAGATACCGACATACGATATTAAAAAAATTGCATTGTAAAATAAATTACTTTACCCATTAAGTTCTGTGTTTGAATAATTTTAAACATCTGTAGAGATTTAAAGTTTGCCTGAATCTTGAAGTTCAACAGGCATAACTAACTGAATTACATTTTAAAGCTATTCCAGAAACAATAAGCATAATATCGTTGTAGACTATTCATCGAATGCTGTGCGGCACTTTTCGTCCTTTTTTTCCATAGCTAGTCAAATATCCTTATCAAGAACTTAGAACGATTCAAAAAAGTTGAATTTTGAAAACATCACTTTGACTCTGAACACTAACCTCATCTTCAGCAGATTTGCCTTTAGCACGGCAATTGAGTTTAGCTCCAAATTTCTGGCTCAAATCAGCAACACCACTGGCGCCTCCTCCATGACAGTTGTGTTCGCGACAGTAAACGCCCGCGAGAGCTCCCAGGCCGATGTACACTTTTTTGCTTTGAGCACGGTCTACTAAGCCCTGTAAGATATCAGAAATGTTAACAAATTTATCACAGTTAGTTCAGGAAATTTTAAAGTTATTAATGCGATTGCTAATATGTAACTAAATGTAATGGACCTTGAAAGTTTAAAACAATACTGATCAGGAAAAATAAAATATCAAGTTTCATACAGAAAACAATATAATTCTTTACTGTAATGATGTCAAACAGACTGCAATAGTATTTCATACATTTCTTTGTTATTTCAATATTATGAATTTTAGTGCTTTTATAAATCTCAGCCTCAATAATTCTGAAGTTGGTCAGCGAACTGACAGTAATGTTTATTATATAAAAACAATACACACTTTTCACGTGATTTTTCGATATTTGACTGACTAGAGTCACCAACTATGAGAATAGCATTACCAATTTTAGAATAACATTGTTGCAGCTGAAAATATTTTGTCAGTTTTTACTTCATCTAAAGTTTCATTACAAAGAGATTTGTTTGGTTCTCAACGTCTAAGCAAATGATGGTGAGTGAGATGGTTCCTAGGCAGTTACCAAGCTTGTCACTAAGCTAGACCTTTTGTTCTCTTTTCCTAAGTAATCATCAAGTAATTTCACTTACAGCGGCAGCTTTAACAGCATCATTGGTGGTATGTCTGGCGCCAGAGAGAGTGAGATAGAAGATTTCCTCCTCGATCTTGTTGAACTGGCCTTGTTTCAGAAGAATCACTGATGCCTCCACGCTGGGCCCGGTGCCGGCACGGAATAGACCATCAAGGAACACGCGTCTGCTGAACAAGAGATGTGTTAAACCTGAAGTGATGATAGTTCTACCGAATTTATAAATTTTGTAATACAGAGCAAAGGTTATTAAACAAATTAGTAAGTACTGTGATATAATATATTTTGTAAAATACTGTGATATAGTATATTGTGCATTTCTATAAACTTTTAGATCTTTTAAAAGTGGATAAACGTTGACGTATAAGAAGTGTTGCTATTTTCAGTTTATTCATTAATCACAGCACAAGAACAGTTACAGTAAACCTGAATCAACGACTAAATAATAAATTGCAGTATACACATGACAGATAATTTGGACATTTAAAACCTCTAATATACACAAAAACGTACTTCTCGACTTTGTTGTTCTTGACTTGATTGAAGATCTTTACCAAATCGTCCTTGCTGGTGGAGCGCATAATCTGAGAGAAAAGTAAAATAATCAATTTAAAAGAAGAAGCTAAACTGCACGAAAAGCAATAAACTTTTTTGAAATTACGTTTAAATTAAATTTATCAAAGACATCATAATCCAAGGAAGGAGCTTGCGCTTATAAAAAAATACATCTAAAATTCAAAGTTGACGCACATTATTAAACAACAACTTTCAAATAGACAAATATAACCAATCCTTACCCTGATGAGTTGAGCGAAGAGGCCGGCAGATTTAGAATTGGCTTCATTGCCGCAAGACTTGGCAGTCTCCTTGACGGCATTTAAGGCAGTGTTGAAGTTGCTGGCGGAAGCCTTAACACCGTGAGGGTTCTCAAAAATGATGCTGCGGGTCTCACTGCACTGGTCTGTAAAGATTGAATCGTTATTAAAGATGATGATATTGTAGTTTTAAAAGTTAATGAAAGTTGAAAAAAAGAACAGGTTACATATTAAGCGCTAAAAGAAGTGTTTGCGAATAAAGAGGGTTGTCACCGATAGGTTAGTTACTTAATACTATCATTTTTTAGCTTACAACTCACTAGAGCAAAATTTCTCTAATTAATTAATTAAGGTTAGCGTATTCTTGCAGTGTAAGAGAAAATTGATAATTCAAATGAGATTATAAACTCAAAATCGTTTATAGAGTTTAGGTTCTTATAAGCACATCAAAAGTCGAAACGCTACGCCATCGTATCAAAAATCAATGGTGAGAGACTACTTCCGTACCGTTTAACATTTGTCTTTAGGTTTTGGTGAAGCGTAAACATTTATTATACCCGCGCTTCAATTAACTATTACTTTGCCGAATATAGGTATTGCATTATGATTAAAAATATGTCGGATATAAAAAGCTTACTTTCCTGACACAAATAAAATTACCTTAGCTCTAAATCCAGAAATACCTGTTAAATATTGTTATGTGTTTAAGCTAAAATCATCTCTTTTCTAAAATGACGTTGGAAATTCTAAAACTAAATAAATAGACAAATAGTCTTACTCGCTGCTGCGCCGCCCTGAGCCTTGCCAGTCAAAGTCAGCTTAGTGTGCACCTTAGCCCTGGCACCATTCTCCCCGACAGAGAAGGGCTTGTAGAGGTACTCTTCGTTGGCGGCCACCTTCTCCGGGATGCCGTTGTTCACCTTGGACTCCACGTTGAGCACCGACTGGAGGACTTGGGAGCTCTTGATTTCCTGGTGATGTGAAAATAAATATTTTTAACAGAGTCACACCCTTTAGTTCGTAAGACTTGTGTATACACAGATAAGTTTAATTAAGAGACCCCAAATGTAAACAGCCATGACTTAGGTACAAATTAATGCTCGTATTCATTAGGACTCGAACCAAGCTGAACGCTACATCCGAAAACCGGTGTATATTCTACCACAGAGGCCATAAAAAGCTGTGCTGTGTTAAACTACAAATGGATACCAATCGATGATCATAGATTTTGAGCCCCCCCACGATGAAGACAAATAGTGTGGGGATCTCATAATTAGTTACAAAGAGATACGTATCTGAGGTTATTCAAAATTTACAGTTATATAGGTACGTAATAAAAAACATTTGAAAATATTCCCCAAAACACTGCAAAACTTCGGCAATATTCGCGGAGCGGTGAGGGAAGTTAACCGACCGACCTAAAGAGGGGGTTCTCTATTTTTGTTTTTATAGTATTAAATTGTGTCCAGTTATACTTACAGAATTAGGATTGAAGACGGCGGTGACGAGATCATTCTTGCCTTGCTCGCGGTATCCGCAGTTGGACAGGTCCCGGGTTCGGTGCACCAGTACAGCACCACCTTCCTTCGAGGAAGAGGCGTCGGTGGGGCACACTCCGAATACATCAGTCTAGAACAAAGAGATGTAAATAAATCTCACGCTCATAAACCTGAACTAGATGGGTCAAGAAAAGCCTGAGATTCTCTGTTCTTCCTCAACTTTAGTTCTTGAAATTAAAGTTGACAACAGCCTGTCTCTCTCATTCTGGATAAAGCGTGACAAACACTATTGTCAAATTAAATTTTAGGTTTAGTGAAATTTGGCCAACTAGTGCCAGTTTCTTAGATTCATCATCATCATCAGCCTATTAATGTCCCCACTGCTGGGGCACAGGCCTTCCCTATGGATGGAATAGGGAGATTGGGCCATGACCCACCACGCGGGCCCAGTGCGGATTGGTGGGTGCTAACGACTGCAGATGCAGCCGGGACCAACGGCTTAACGTGCCTTCCGAAGCACGGAGGAGCTCGAGATAATGAATTTTTGGTCACCCATCCAATGACCGACCACTGCGAAAGTTGCTTAACTTCAACGACCGCAGCCGAACGCGCTAACCACTTGCGCTATCGAGCTCCTGAACGCGACATCCGAAAACCGGTGTATATTCTACCACGGTTCTTAGATTGGGGTCGAACAAAATGTCATAAACAGCCAATAACATCAGGTTAAGAGTACCTATTAAGAAAACCGTATCTTAATCATGCCCAAATTCGTACGGACACACAAACACACACTAAATAATAAATTTACTGTTTTTGATAAATAAATAAAATATATAGCAGTAGTTAAATTTTATTGCAATATCTACAGAATGTCCGTTGAATGTGTTAATGTTTAAAGTGTTAACTTGGCTCTCATATGACTAGATATCACTGTTGGTGAAGATTTTCATATAATTTACCTGAGTAGATGATTTCTGCTCGGTCTGCAACAGGGAGATGATGGCCCTCTTGATGTTGAGGGAACGGCGCGTGTCCTGTTCCTCGGCGCAGATCTCAGAGCCGGTCCTGCCGTCTTGCAGTGTGAAGAGGACAGGCTTGTCGATGCCAGGAGGGCTTGAGTATTTCTGGTGTATAATTAGTTTCTTGTTATTCAGTGAACTTTAGACGACAAACTTTGCTTAAGAATTCTGAGAGCGTTAAGAAATTATTATCTTTTCAATTGAAGCTTTTAAATAGAAATCAACAATGCTTTAGAAAAGAATGACTGAAAATCGCTACTCATAGTAAAAATATCCATTATGGGTATTTATCGAAAGATTTCTTTGAGGATAATAAATATTTAGAAACAGTTTACAACTACTGGATAAGGCCTTTAAATGTTACTGAGGGTTTTTATTCAAAAATTTCATAAGGCTGTTTTATTAAAATTTCCAGAGTAAGATGTTTTCCTAAATATAACACATTTCCCAACATCTCCTTTGGAACATCTCGAAAAAAAATTGTGAATATTTATTTTATTTTATAGGATGAGAATGACTTATTTTTATTCAAATTTCTTAAAATGATCTTTATGATTTTAGAATGTTAAGTATCTTATTCCCATTATACTTATTAGAAGATCAATTTACCTTCCCATCAGGCCCTGATATGACAAGGTTCTGCACTTTAAGCTCGTTGACGCAGTTGCCAATAGAGGTAACGGTGACTTGTCCAAGGAGTTTCACGCTGGTCTCCTGCTTGTCTGCTCCAGTCAGGTAGATAGAGACGGTGCCTTCAACTCCATAGTTGTACTTGTGGCCGGTCAAAAAAGTCGTCGTGGAACCTAAGTAAATTTACACAAACTTTAGGTAAGGTTTAAATGAAAACGCAGAAGATAGAAGAAAAATACCTATAATTATGTTATTTGAAATAGCTATGTATTAAAGTAAAGTTAAATGTTTTCTAATGTAAGAAGTAATATCAAAAGCAACGATGTCTGACGATTTTAATCTTATTCTATAAACTGTGTAAATAAATCTGACTCATTAAATTACATACTTTCATTTCCTTTCGATAATATTATAGAACAGCATTACTGAAGTGAAAAATAAAAATAACATGAGCAAACTAAGTAGGAAGAAAACAAATATTTTTTTATGAATTGTTATTTATAATGATAAAATTAATATAATAATTATGTATGTGGTACGCTTACCTCCTTTACATCCTAATGAGCATTTATCTGAAACAAATAAAGCAATTTATGTCATTAATAAAGTCTGCATTTATAAACATGTTGTTCAGCAATTATTTATCGAGGGATATGACATTAAATATATGCCACCAATGGACTGTGATAAGGAAACTATTTACGATCAATCTTGTGTTGTACGATCAATGTTTAAAAAGATAAATGTTTTATGATTTTTTTTAAATAAAGCAGATGAATACACGATTTAACACTGTAAGGCTTGTGTTATGGGATACTAGGGTAACGGATAGAATACATATACTGTACGTATATAAGTATATTTTTATATAGAAATACATAATTTAAACATCCATGACTGGAGTACAAGTGCTCGTATTCATCACACAAACATCTGCCCCCACCCAGGATTCGAACCCGGGAACCTCTCGAGTCAACGAAACCATGAAACCTGGCGTACAAACCACTCGGCCACGGAGGTCGTAATGAAATTAGAATAAGTGTATTCTTATTCATTGTTCTTAAAATTAATAATTCAAAGATATTTTTGATAAATTTAAGTTTGGGGTTCGTAAATATTTAGGTAGGTAAAAACTTATTTTGATTAAAGGGTAAAAGGAACACAGCATCTGGGTGTTCAAGTTTGATGAACATGGAGCTGATGTCGTTAAACCAACAAAAAAAAGCAATAACGAAATTCGGGACAATCTAAAATGTTTTTCACTCTAACTAGAAAACAATAATTTGAACTTAGATAATAACATATTAGACCAAGTCCATGTTATTACAATACAAGTATCTAATTCAGAGAAAATGATTATGATAGCAGACATGTTAAAGGTCAAGGAAGAATTTTATAATCACTGATGTAAATACAGTATCAATGTAGGTATAGCAATTAATAACAAAGTATTGTATCCGCATGAAGAGCCGGGTTCAACTCTTATCAGTTTGTGCAATTATCGTGAATAAGTTGTCCTCAGAGATAGTAATACTGTAAAGGTACTTAGAATTAAAATTACGACAAACACGATCTTTGAACTCATCATCGTTTGTACTAAAGACGTTGAAAATTAAATCTAAAGAACATTTCATTTATACATTCCGATTTTTTTAAGTAAACTTCTCAGATTTAATCATCCAGCAGTTAATGCTTAAAAATAATATTTATGTATATATAACTATTTAGTCTGGCCAAAAGTTAAGTTAGACAAAAACTTTACTTTTTTTCAACTATTTAATTATCTTGAAACACGTATATTATTTTAAAAACTTCTTTCGATTTTGCGCCATTTCACATAGTTTTTCATGTTCATTATCAAATTACAATATGGAATAGGATGTTAAAGAAATTAGGATTGAAGTGATCGCCTTGCATAAAGTGGGAATGAAGCCGTCGGTCATATTCCAGACGCTTTAAAAGCTTGGTATCAGCCGTATGTTCGTATATCGTACTATCAACAGATACAAAAACACACCGTTTGTCGAAGACCAGAAAAGATCGGGGCGGCTGCGTGCTGTTAGAACTACAAAGGTTATTAATGCTGTTAAAGCGAAAATTCATCGAAACCCCATTAGGAAGCAAAGACTTTTATCGCCAGAAATGAAGTTTCCTGCTAGGTCTCTGTCGCGTATTATAAAATAAGACCTGTATCTCGGTGCTTATCGTCGATATACAGTACATGCCCTAAATCAATCTTTAGTATTAAAGAGAGTGGATCGATCAAAACGCCTTCTGTTGCGATACGCAATTGAAAAACACAATAAAACCTCTTTACCGATGAAAAAAAAAATTCACGATTGAATACGATACAATAAGAAAAATGATGAAGTGTATGCTCACAGTTCTAAAGAAGCTGCTCAAGTGGTCGGAAAGGTACAACGTGGTCATCATTCTGCGTCAGTGATGGTTTGGTGGGGCGTGTCTTATCAAGCAGTCACAAAACTACTTTTTTGTGAGAAAGGAGTGAAATCTTCAGCCAGAATGTATCAAGATACAGTCTTGGATCATGTTGTAAAACCTCTTAGCAATAAACTTTTTAAAAATATACTGTGGACTTTCCAGCAGGATTCTGCACCTGGTCACAAGGCATGAACAACCCAAGCCTGGCTTGGATCCAACGTTCCGGACTTTATAAGAGCTGAAGACTGGTCCTCATCTAGCCCAGACCTCAACCCTTTAGACTTCAAATTATAATCAGTTTTATAGGACATGGCCTTTTCTAAACGACACGGCGACATTGAGTTTAAAAAATCTCTGGTGCAAGCAGTGGCGAAATTTCCCTTGGAAACAGTGCGAAAATCCATAGATTCGTGGCCTAATAGATTAAAGGCCTGTATAAAAGCCAAAAGCGGCCATTTCTAATACTTTTTTTTTGATGAGACTTCAATAAACCTTCCTACATAGGTATAACTTTTAATAATAGGATATTACTCAATTAAAAAATGCATAGTCGTTTGTAACAGAACTTAAGGCTGGACTAGGTATATAACTATGTTAATAGTTAAGAGTTTAGAATGTATCTTTATTGTACAAACATCATTACTATAATGCTTTTTATCTTACTTTTGTTTGTAACGATGTCTACTATAATACCTCCAGTACCAGAGTACCAAAATTAAATCAAATTGTTCTAATAGTAGAATTTATTATTAATATTGATAGAATAGATAAGAATGTGTACTTTGTCAAAGCAAAACCAAGAGGAAACCAAGTATTTAAGAATGTTTGTGAATGGCAACTACTTATATTCATAGTCCCAAGAATAAGCAGATAAATTCTCTTGAATGATAAATATTAAAAATAATATACTGAAACAATGACACAGCTTATTATGATTGTTATTGATATAAGCAATGCAGCAGCAGATATGCGCAGTCGAAATCCACGAGGAAACAGTACGAAAATTGCATGAGTCTAGGCACCAGAATTATTCTGCGATTACAAAACACAACAATTTTATATATATTTATGGACTAAATCAAGACGAGAGATGAATAATACCCACATGATTATTAAAAAGATTTTATTCCTTTTCTGTTATAGGTGTTATAGTATTTTACGTTTTTGTTATCTTTTTAAGGCTTAGAATTTCACAGCTGTTTTTTTTAATTCATTCAAATAAACAAATGATGAATGAAAGAACAAATGAATCAAAAGAAAGCGCTATGATCGATCGGCTACACGATCAAATTGGATAATCACAATTTCTTTCCTCTGCGGCCGATCGATCAGGCCCCTCTCGCAATTACTCAATTTGAGTGGGGGACTTGGTGTCCCTTTGTTTGGAGTTTGGCGACCTGGGGAACGAATCTGGGTCTAATTTTAAACTGCTAGCATGCTAGAAAAATACTCTGTTTACATATGAATTCAAGGTCAGTTGCAAATTGTATATGTGCATTCAAGATTCTACCCTAAAGCCTGCTGTTTAGATAAGAACAAGAACGATTAGAATAGATTCGAGCCATTAGGAGAAAAATAAGGTTATTTAACGCCTTTATCAATGAAAACAAATATAGCATTTTATGTCCTAATTTTGATGTAACTTCCATAAGAGTGGTATCACCCAGAAATAATAGGCTAGACACTAAAAACCACCACGTGGGCTCACCGCAGTAAGGCTCAATAGAGTAAAGCCAAAATCTTACTGAGATTATAATGCACAAATCTGTTTTTAACTTCCATAATTTAGCACTTTTACTACCAAAAATGATTTTGTTCAATTTTAATAGATATATAGAGTTTTAGAGGACCTTAAAGAAGGATATATGACACAGGCTACTTACTATCAGGAAATATATATTGCTAAAGAGGGGTAAAAGGGAGATCAAAGTAAGTATATAAAAGCGAAGTTCTCACTAAATTCTGATTATGAAATCCGACTCGATAAAGCTAAAAGTTATTTCTAATTATGGCTATCACAAGCAATAGTGCATCGACAAACCTTGTTATCCAATTGAAGATATCTAAAAAAAGCTCATTTTACGATGCGATCAAAATTTTACAGTACTTATTTAATTGAAAGTACGCTAGAGAAAGGATAAGATGATTGTGATTTTTTATTGGTATATTATTTAATTGAAAGAATATATTTTTTCAGGTAACTGTATATTACAAAAAAAAACCTTTAGTGCATATACTTTTTACATTTTAAGACTAGATAAAAGGTGACTAGGTTGTTTGTTTTACGGTCAAGTTAATATTAACGCTATAAGAACTTAAATAAATAACAAATTGTAATTATCGATATTCTTATTACATCGTTCCATAAGACAAAACGCGAATATGTATTCGAAAAAACAAAAAGTAATTCCACGCTACAACAAAGACGTCAAAAAATATAATGATTTTAGGTCTAGTTCCCTCCTGCGTTTTCCATGTGCATCAAATACATTCAAATACATATTCACTGCGTTTTAGTGAAGAAAAAATGCTTTTTACCAGAACAAGAAAATTCCTTTCACACATTGAATTGACGGTCAAGCTACAGATCGGAGTCACCACTATTAGCAACAATTAGGATATCCTCTATTGTTTGCGGATATTCTAGGTCTATTGAGTCTAGTACTTTCAACCGCTAATAGGCCGAGCCAATCAAAATTTATTAGAATGGAACAAAAATTGCGAAAGCTCCATAGTTTTCATCTTTTCTAGAACTCTAATTGAATTGTGTATTCACTATCAACCGTAGACAAATTAGATTTTTTAAGAATATTTTGCAGATACATATGAATCACATACATAAAAGGCTTTGGCAAGGATCACATCTCAGCCCCGTAATATTTAAGAATTAAAATCATATTTTAATTTTCTCTGTTCTCTCCACCTACCCTACCCGAAACACGGCGATGCGGTGTAAAGACAGATATATATATATATATATATATTAATGATATTATAAAAATATCATCGTTTATTAATCTCACATATCAACTAGCAGCAATAAAAGTTGATATAATTCTTAATTTTGTTCGTCTAAAAGAAGGCAGGTTATCAGCCTCCGCTGAACGTGACTTTGACGAAGACTTGCAAAAACATTGTTCGATAAGTACAGGGGTCATAGGTCGGAGCGATTCTAGTGTGTATCAATGTTTGTTCTGTGCTGTTATCAATAATAAAGCTCTATTGTCACTGGTCACTGTCAAGGCGTAGACGACCGATAAAGACAATTTAATTGTAAATGTTTCTACTGTTGCTGAGCAGCATCATTTGCTTTGTTCTTCATCTGTCAACTTTAAAGCTTTATCAATCGTATAGAGTACCTAATTATATCAAATCCTCGTCTTTCTTTGCTGTAATTTATTCATTCATGATACTTTTTTTATTTATCGAGGTCCGAACAAATAACTCAAATGACAGTGGAGTTCAGACGCGGAGATAACAGTTAGCATGAGACTGTTTAATAATATAAAAATTGAAGACTATTCACAATTGACTATTCAAATGAATGAAATTGTAGTTTGGCAAAGTTTTCATATGGTTATAATACAATTCGATGATCTCTGAAAGGTCACTATTGATAAGGCATGCTCAAACAAAAGACAGGTCGTTAGCTGAGCGATAATACAATCTGGGTTCGAAGTTGATCCTATTGTTAACTTAATTATTGTTTTCCTTGTTAACGATGTTTATATAATAATACATCATTTGTAAATGGCGGTTGTTGATGTCTTTAAGTAAGGTATTGATGTTATTGAGTACTAGATCAATAGGTAAGAAACTATTAAGATCCAAATTCCAGAATATTTAGTGAAACATGGACTTTGAAAGATACGTTAGATAGACTAACTACCGAACTCAAAGACGTCTTTTAAGTTTGACATTAATTAATGAGAATGGTTAAAGTTGATGCTATCACTCAGTTTGCGACAGAATTATCACTAAATTTGACAACATAGGACCAATAAAACTTTTCTTGACTTTTCTTAATACGCTGAAGTAGAGTTGCCAAAGTATTTGATATGCTATAAAATGTAGAGTATGAAACTTTATATCTGATACGAGTTGTATCTTTAATAGTAAAAATGCTCTTCATTTAACTTAAGGTATACTCCTAGGCACATGTAGTGTATCAAAGTTATTATGTAAAACATTCTTAGTATTAGAACATTATTATGGATCAGGAGATACTTTTTCGCGGGATCTACTTATTTCGGATTCAGTTTGCCTCACAATACATTTAGCTTTTTAGAGGTATGTAATATTACTTTGTTAAATATTCGTAGAATATAACGAAAAAGTAAAACAATAACGATATAAGACATGACATTGAAAGATTTACCTCTCTGAAAGCTTGAACATAGCTCTTTAAGTTTTATTGAAGTAAGTGCTAAGACTTACTTCACGATAGAAAAAAATATTTAAACAAACACGTATCTAAACAAAGGCAATAAAAAAAGCTCACGATAAAAAGGCATATAGAAAAGTAGGAGTAATTACAAGTGAACTAGTTTCAAATAAAGATTTTAATGGCTACGTTATTACTGTGCAGTGAGTTTTATTTTATTTATTTAGTATTAACGTACATTAATCTATTGTGACAAAATTTAAAGCTGATTTAAGCATGTAGTCTGATTTTTCATGCATGATCAGAAACATGTTTAGTGACTATAGAATTATTTTGTTTTAAAGTATTTTATTGCGTGCAAGTTTTAAATTATTTGGTACACTTATACATTTTCATAAGCTATTGTTTGTTCTTTGTTCCATTATAAACAAATTAGGATAACTTTCACGGTTACTTAGGTAGATAAGTGAAAATCTTACAAGTATTAAAATATATAGATATTTATATATATTAAAGTAGCTATAGATGAGTGATCTCACTAATGTCAACTTAGATGAGGGAGCAAGTAACTATATTATATTAGTATGAGTATATCTATCTATATATATAAAACTCAAAGGTGACTGGCTGGCATAGTGATCTATCAACGCACAGCCCAAACCACTGGACGGATCGGGCTGAAATTTGGCATGCAGGTAGATGTTATGACGTAGGCATCCACTAAGAAAGGATTTTGATTAAAAACCCCCAAGGGGATAAAATAGGGAATGAAAGTTTGTATGAAACTTTGTCAATTTTAAACTGATCGGGCTGAGACTTTGCATGCAGGTATAAGAAGAATCATAGATGAATGTCATTGTGTATAATACAAGCCTGAGAACAAAAACTGTAGTCTACACTTCAAAGCGAAGCGAGGGCGTGCCGCTAGTATATCTATAAATAATAAGTGGATGCCCGCGACTACCTACGTCTGTGTGGAAATTTTCGTTTCCCATATAAAATTTGAACTTTCGCTTTACCCCTTTAGGGGGTCAGTTTTGGAAAATCCTTTCTTAGCACACGTCTACATCATAAAAGCTATATATGTGCCAAATTTTTGGGTAGTTTGAGCTGTGCGTAGATAGGTCAGTTAATTACGGTTCCCCTTTATATATACATGCAGAAGAAGATGAAATTATCAAAGATCAGTTTCAGTATATACTGAGAGCTTTCAAAACTTTGCTTTAAGCCTTGGATGCTAGTTTTGACCAACATATAGATTGAATGCCAAACTTAATAATTTGAACACATAAAAAAACATTGTTGCAACAACAAACAATTGACTGACATATTAATAAAAGCTATAAATTCTTTTCATTTGAAATTATAACAAATGTTTGTTTCTAAGGTTTTCACGCACATCACTCATTAAATAAAACTAGTTTGAACGGGTTAATGCACGAACTTTATTTATTTATTGACGTTTCGCAGCGTTTTCAGGTCTGCATCGTCAGAATGATGATTTTTTATAACGAAACGTCAGTAAATAAATAAAGTTCGTGCATTAACCCGTTGAAACTAGTTTTATTTATAACAAATGATTAATACACACGTAGGCATATAAACATTTTCTTGAATAAGATTAAGATAATATATTATGATAGAACACCAAATTCAGTAATTTTGTTTGCATAAAAAATGAAATTCTATGTCTCCTTCTTTATTTACAATAGAAAAAGCAGCAAAACAAAACTTTGATAAACAAATAAAATATTTTTGTAATTAAAAATGTAAAAGAAACTGACAATTTTCAAGACAGGTCTCGAACCCGCGTTTTATTCTATAAATAAATATTAATTATCTTTAAATGAAAATCTAATCGTGAAATGTTTAAAAAGTAATAAATAACTAAATAAAATTACTCACTGTCGGCTAAGGCTGGTTTCCATAAAACGGAAATTACTAATAAAGCACAAAATCTCAAACTAATACTCCTCCCCATTTTGACGGGGGAAAAGTGGCACTTATATTTATTGTAATAATTATCAGTCTGTTTGTCTTATACTATCAATACTATACTTGTTGTTTCAACCCCTTGCAGAAGGCGAATGAGGGACGCCGTGGCGCTCACCTCTTTATATAGACACGGGGACCTACCGCAGAGGTCGTCCTGCATAACGCCACAGCTGATATTCAGAAGCAGTAACTCCAATTTTCTTGTTCTTTTTATAAAAAATAATAAATGGTTGAAATGTATATATGTTTATACATACGAGTATTAGTTCCGAACGGCTGCAAATAAAACAATTTGGTGTATAAAACTCATAATCAAAATCATTTATTCCGATTAGTCTGTTACAAGCACTCATCGGTTCGTAAATCTACGGCAGGAGACCTTGTGCTCAGAAGAACCGGCAAGAAAATCAGCGTGGGCTTTTTTTTCTTTCTGTATGATTATTTACAGAGTCGTTAAGTTGAAAAATTACTTCAGAGATAATTCATGAAGTTACCTTTCCTTAATATGTGAAATAAACATTAATTTTTCACTTGCATTTTGATCGCGGTGTCACACAGTATAAATACAAATAGTGTTATTTATATTAGGTATTACTAGATAGCATCTCTAATAGCAAAGTAGTTAGAGCAGACTCATCTTCGCTGGCAGCACCCGTTCACACCATGATGCAAGAATCAGCCCTCCCTTCATCCAACCATATTTTAGGCAACATAACAACCCGCCTTACACGACACCACCAAAAAGACTTTTAAGAAAGCATGACTACCCATAACCACCCATAATAACAACATAATTATTTTTCTTCATATTTGTTATTTTCAGGGCAAGGTTTGTTTATAAGCTTTTTGTTAATCTAACAGAAATAAACGATGGTACGAAGTTCACCGGGTCAGTTAGTTTTGAATAAAATACCACGTGGGAATAGAATGGTTGAATACGAACTCTTTTTTCGTCATCCATTTTCTGCTTAATAAAGATCTTGTGGATTATTGAATATTCAAATAGTGATAAGAAAAGTATTTTAATAAAGGAACACAATTTTCAGATACTATTATGTATTATCATTAAAATTGTAGAATAATTATGGTCTCGATAAAGTGTAATTTAATAATATGTTAATATTCATACTGCTGCAAAGTTCCACACTGTCACTCTTTTGTTATTCTTCAGTACTCCAGAAATTGTTACTCGTTGTCATTATTAATGAACAAAAATTATGAAAAATGATACCATAAAAAGTTTTAATTTTGTTTTAAATATAAATATGATTATTGATATTGGATAACCAATAAATAAAAATTGGAATGGGATAAAAATCTAGTGATGATATTTATAAAAGCGTAGTTAAGCTTATGTAACTCTCGCTTGCTCTGTCACCCTGTAAGAAAGACGGACCGTGTAACGTGTAAGTAAATATATGTAAAAAAAAAATGTTTATGTACCTCTTGTTTGTAATTTTGTAAATCAAGAAACTGGTACGTCATTTTAGTCAAATTTAATTATGTATTTTTTGAAAGGCAAGTTACTGTGGCTAATATTTACTGTGGCTTCATCTACAAGTTCATAAACATTACTTACTCACTAAAAACAATTGTAATTTATTAATGACTATGAAATTGTATCCAGTTTATGTTTGTTTATGTTCTAAATAAGTTTAAAACAATGAATGAAATATTTTTGGTACGAATTAATCATAAAGTTGATATTTTTAATTATACTTTATTTTAATTTAACAAGTCAAATATGCTCTAAATGTCAAATAATTTGAGTAGTATCCACAATTTATTTGTTAAAAATAAAACAAAACAAAGGATTTTATTATAAAAGTTAAAATATACAACATTTCATTCCAGTACATTAAATTTTGGCACAACTATTCAAATGTGTATAATTTTCGTTATACTTAAAATTAACATAATATCATAGAGTTTCTTTCACTTGGACATTAATTTTCAAAGGTTTTGTGATTTAATTAAAAATTAAAAGATTTATATATTAATGTTTAAATCTAAAGAAACGTTTACTACAAAAGGTAATCATTCGGTTCAGATTTCCGACGGAATAATAATATGTCACAAAATTGATCATGTCTATCACATAATGTATGATCAAAAAGCTATGCTCATAAAAAAATATTATATGCGCACAATAAGCCTAATAATCTCACAACTAGATGACGATTTAATATCTTTAATGTGGTTTGATCATCTATATATATAAAAACTCGAAGGTGACCGACTGACATAGTGATCTATCAACGCACAGCCCAAACCACTGGACGGATCGGGCTGAAATTTGGCATGCAGGTAAATGTTATGACGTAGGCATCCGCTAAGAAAGGGTTTTGATCAATTCTACCCCCAAGGAGATAAAATAGGGAATGAAAGTTTGTATGAAACTTTGTCAATTTTAAACCGATCGTGCTGAGACTTTGCATGCAGGTATAAGAAGAATCATAGATGAATGTCATTGTGTATAATACAAGCCTGAGAACAAAAACTGTAGTCTACACTTCAGCTCTACACCGAAGCGAAGCGATGGCGGACCGCTAGTTTAACATAAAACACCACGCGGGGTGAGAATTTTATGTTACCTGCTTTAACTGTATCAAGCTTTTTACAGTATAAAAGAAACCCTCATGGTAATTTACAGTAGTTTGGATCATACCGTGGTGATTCCTAAACCAGAAGACATTGAGGCGTACTTTGAAATCTGGTGCCCCAGGTAATTTACGATTTGCACCTCACATCCCCGCAAGAACCAGAGGGCGGGGTTGTTCTGTAAAATTTTCACGCGTGGATCCGATGTGGATCCGCGCTGTTCCGATGTTAATTCGCGCGGATTAACATCGAATCTGCGTGTGAAAATTAAAAACAAAAAATAGCACTGAAGCAAATCAAATCAAAATAAATGAAATGATAATTTATTCAAATTGACTTCATCATCGGCCTATTAATGCCCCCACTGCTGGGGCACAGGCCTTCTCTATGGATGGCATAGGGAGATTGGGCCATGACCGACCACGCAGGCCCAGTGCGGATTGGCGGGTGCTAACGACTGCAGATACAGCCGGGACCGAAGGCTTAACGTGCCTTCTCAAGCACGGAGGAACTCGAGATAGAAGATTTTCGGTAACCTATCCAATGACCGACCACTGCAAAAGTTGCTTAACTTCGCGAACGCGCTGAACACCTGCGCCATCGAGCTCCTCAAATTGACTTTTTGAAAGTTATTTTGAATCGTCCAATATATTTTCCTAGCACCCATTCAGGACATCTTTCAGCTGATGAAAAGAATGGGCGCAAGAAACTTATAAGCATTTAACAGAAATAGCAACATTAAAAAAAAAAACAACATGGCGCCATCACCAGGTCTGCAGTGGAACGGATAGGAAAGATTTGGAGGGACAGGAGAATTACCAAGAAGACTAAAGTCAGATTGATGAAAAGCCTTGTGTTTCCAATCTTTCTTTATGGAGCCGAAACTTGGTCTTTGAGACTGCAGGATCGCCGTAAAATCGATGCATTGGAGATGTGGTGCTGGAGACGCCTCCTAAACATCCCGTGGACGGCATTTCGTACCAATGTATCCATCCTCAAAGAGCTTCGTGTTAAAGACAGACTCTCGTCAACTGTGCAACAACGAATACTGAAGTTCTTTGGTCACATCTCTAGAAATGAGAATTCGATGGAAAGGCTGGTGGTTCAAGGCCATGTGGAAGGCAAGAGAGCACGCTGAGTCCACCATGGTCCAGTGTACTCGCCTCGAACCGTCACAAATGGAAGCACATCACCAGGAGAGCTACCCTCGGAATTGATAGCGACCCAAAGAATACCCCACCATGTACCTCGCCAGTGCAACCACGACCACTCTGACAAGAGTGCCCGACTAAGAAGAAGAAGAAGAACCAATAAAACGTCCACTCACATTTTGATTGCTGTGTCATACAGTATTAATACAAACAGTGTTCATATTAGGTACTAGTGGCCCGCCCTCGCTTCGCTTCGGTGTAGAGCTGTAGTGTAAACTATAGTTTTTGTTCTCAGGCTTGTACTATAAACAATGACTTTATTTATATAATTACACGTGTTATGGTGAGTCAACCATAAAAGATAGACATATGCTGTTGCGGGATATTTTTTAGACAATTTTATGTAAAATATTTCCGTTATACATGATTTCTATGTAACTTTAACCATTAAGGCTGCACACGCGACGGAAGCTTAAAAAATGGAGTAACTTCTCCCGTTTTCCCAACATTTCCCTTCACTACTCTGCTGCTATTGATTGTAGCGTGATGAAAAGTATACTATAACCTGCCCAGGAGTATGAAGAATAATTGTACCAAGTTTCGTTAAAATCCGTCGAGTAGTTCTTGTTTCTATAAGGAACATACACACAGACAGACAGACAGACAAAAATTTTACTGATTGCATTTTTGGCATCAGTATCGATCACTAATCATCCCCTGATAGTTATTTTGAAAATATATTTCATGTATAGAAGAGGTCACTCTCTACAGATTCATTATAAGTATAGATAATAAATAACATCTCAAGAGTAACGCAGTATAGAGCAGACTCATCCCAATATAAGTAAGTAACGAATGCTTTTAAATTAATAATAATAAATATCCCAACACTCACACCAATTAGCCTAGCTAGCTCCAAAGTAAGCACTGTGAGGCTTGTGTTATGGGATACCACGGTAACGGATAAAATACATATACTGTACATATATATAAGTATATTCTATTGAAATCTACATAATATTGAACATCGATAACTGGAGTACAAATGCTCGTATTCATCACACGAACATCTGACCCCACCGGGATTCAAACCTGGGACCTCTAAGACGGCGACACCATGAATCCCGGTTTACAAACCACTTGGCCACGGAGGTTGTTTTATATAGCTTTTGCTGTCCCTTTTAGCTCTTGCAGCCGTCTCTCGCAGCCTGCTGCCCTGGGCCATGGTCCTCTTGGCCCAATGGTAAAAACTTATTTTGACAAACTTTTTCGAGATAACGCAAAAAAAAATCAAATGTGCACAATGCGGAAAAAATATTGCTGTTTCTTCATTGATTATGAAAAGTAATAAAATTCGCGCATTATTTGATATTCGTAAATGTACGATACGATACATTTACACGTTCGTCCATCAATGCTTCCTTTGCTGGCCACTCCAGTAATGTACTTAATGAATATATATATATAACGCACAGCCCAAACCACTGAACGGATCGGGCTGAAAGGACATCGACGAAATCGGCCCTAGCATACCCAAAAGAATGTCCTTCACTATTATTTTTCTATTATTTTTTTAACTTATTAGTAATTAATCATAGTAAACGGACAATCTGTTTAAGAAAATAAAAAATAGAAGTTCTGTTACTAGATACTACAGTCTGTTCATCCAACTTGGCACTCCTTTTTATTGAAAATACAGCATTAAAAATCAACTGATAACTAGATTCAATAGGTTTCAGTCTATAATAACGATTTATTTTAATAGTTTATTGGCTTCGTTAATATTTTATTATTAAACGGGTGATTCTGTTAAAAAGTTGTGCCAAGA